GTCTGTGTCCGTGTGTGAGTGTCTGTGTCCGTGTGTGAGTGTCTGTGTGCGTGTGTGAGTGTCTGTGTGCGCGTGTGAGTGTCTGTGTCCGTGTGTGAGTGTCTGTGTGCGTGTGTGAGTGTCTGTGTCCGTGTGTGAGTGTCTGTGTCCGTGTGTGAGTGTCTGTGTCCGTGTGTGAGTGTCTGTGTCCGTGTGTGAGTGTCTGTGTCCGTGTGTGTGTGTCTGTGTCCGTGTGTGAGTGTCTGTGTCCGTGTGTGAGTGTCTGTGTCCGTGTGTGAGTGTCTGTGTGTGTGTTTGTGGAGTAAGGAAACTTGCCCAACGTTTCGCATGGACCTGTCCCGCCCGGGAATGGATCCCAGCTCCTCTCGCTTGCGAGGCGAGGTTCCATGATTAATCCCGACTTTCAGCCGTGTAACAGTTATCGTTAATTAACGTCAGGTTGGAGTGAAGCGCTCTGGGACGCTCCCCCGGGTGAGGGGCGCTATATAAACACAAGTTGTTGTTGTTGTTGTTGAGTCACCCTCTGCGGCAGCTTCGGGAATGTGGTTACTGAGCCAGGACAGTTTTCAGTGCTGATGGCAGCCCAGCCTCGGGGGAGGGCAGACCAGTCACTTGGGTGGGGGGGCCGGGGGTGGCAGGGAATCCTCCCGCTCAGCTCCTGTTCACCCTCTAAACCAAAGCCCCCTCAACAGCGGAAGCTTCCGATGGCAAACTCCACGCAAGGCAGGGGAGCCAAGTCACCGCTTTTGCCAACCTATGCCTAATACTCTCCAGAATTAGGTAAGCAGGATGCCTCCTTCTGGGGAGAGGGGTTAAGAGGGTGCCCCACCCTCATGCACCTCCTGCAGTGCTGTACACTCACGGTCTACAATAATAATAATAATAATAATAGAATAACATGATGTTTTGTGTATTGATCTGAACGGCTACATGATCGGAGTTATTACCAGTTAATCACTGTCACCCCAGTGGCCACATCGCCCACTGCTCTCAGCTCTTGTAGCTGCTGGTGTGACCGACGGGGTCTCCTGATGGGGGTCTCCTCCAGCAAGGACATGAACAGGCAAAGTAACAGAAAGTATTAGTGAGAGCAAAGTAACAGAGTAACAGCTCCAGCTGGGGGCTAGGCCTGTGGATTGGGCTTGGGTTGGGGGCTGGATTCGGGGCTGGGGCCTGGGAGCTGGACAGTAAACCCAGTGAGACCACCTGGTGTCAGGACAGAGACCTAATGTGTCATGGTCCAGACTGAGTCTGAATCCCGAGACCTTAGTAAGTAGATACACGGAGACCTCGCCTGGTGTGAAAGCCCGACAGTGGCCACTATCTCGCAGACACAGAGGCTAAAATGACCTATAACCGACCGACAAAAAAAACAGGGAAAAGGAAAGTGCTTCGGCGTTTAGACTGCGGAGGAGAAGTCTTGCTCCGCGAGTTGGTCCTGGACCTCGATGGGCAGCCGGTCAAACAGAAGCTCATCCACAATCAGGTTGTTCTTCCTGAGGGAAGCACAGGCCCCGATCTCAGGGGGCAGCCTCTCCAGGTTGTTCCCCTTTAGCTCCAAGTACGACAGCTGCTTGAGTTGCCCGATCTCAGCCGGGATGAACACAATGGAATTCTGCCCCAGCTGGAGGGTCTTCATCTTCAGGCAGTCGAACAGATGCACCGAGAGGGTCTCCACCCGGTTCTTGGTGATGGAGAAGATCTGGAGGTTGGCCAGCTGCTGGATGTCGGAGGGGACAGTAGTTAGCAGGTTGTGGCTCAGGTCGAGGTGTCTGAGCTTCCTCAGAGTGAAGAGGGCGCTGGGCAGCGATTCCAGTTTGTTGTTGGACAGGAAGAGTTTCTCGAGGCTCTTGATGAGGCCAATGGTGGCCGGGATGGTGCTGATGGAGTTGTGCCAGAGCTTGAGGGAGAAGAGACGTTTGATATGCTGGAAGCTGACAATCTCCTCGATGCTGCGGATGTTGTTGGATTTCAGGTCCAGCTCGTGGAGGTTGGTCAAGCTGAAGATGGCGTGAGGAATCCTCTCCAGCTCACAGTTCTGTAGCTCCAACTCCCCCAAATTGGCCAGCTTCTTCAGGTTGTTGAGCACCAGTAACTTGGTCCCGTCATTTTGGATGACGAGCTTGGACAAATGGGCGGCCAGCTCCATCACGTTAGTCGGGATTTTGGAGAGATTGCTCTTCAAGGTGAGGACTCGGAGGTGCCTGAGCTCCTTGAGCGACTCCAGACCAATAGCCTTGTTGGTCTCCGAGTTCAAGTTCCCCGACAGATGCAGCTCAATCAGGTTCTTGAGGGAATAGACCCACAGGGGAATCTCTCCGATGTCCGTGAACTTGACGTGCAGGATGTGGAGGTGATCGCGCAGAAAGTTGAAGGCAATCTGGTCAACCCTGGCTGGGCAGTGGTAGAGATACAGCTCCTTCAGACACACCATCTGGGACATCTTGGCTGGAAGCTTGACGTCGGGAATGAGCTCCAGCTTGAGGACCTCCAGGTCGGTCATGTCAAACACAGCCTTGGGGATACCAGACAACATGAAGAGCTGGAGCTCCAGTTTGCCCTGGACGTTCTTGGACACGTGTTGTCTCAGCTTCTCGTACGTCCATTCATGGTTGAGGTTCATCTCGAGCAGTTTGCTCTCACAGCCCTCGGACAGGAAGATGGCGAAGCGTTTGGAGTAGAGCTGATCGTATTGATCACCATGTGCAGCAGGAAAGCAAAATCGTTCTTCACGTCGGGAATGTCGCTGAAGTTGCTCTCCTCCCGCACCTTCTCGAAGGAGTATTCCTTCAGGCAGCCCCGGAACAGCCAGAAGAGGGTGTAGAGACAGACCAGGCCGTACAGGGCGATCAGGATGATGTAGCTGATCAGCAGTTTCTGCAGCATGTGGGCCATACTGTGGGTGCAGTAAAAGACGGAGTATCCTGTCACGTTCTCGATCTTGGGCCGGCAAATGTGCTTGAAGTTGATGGAGTTGACGAAGGTGAAGGTGTAGCTGAGGATGAACAGGAACTTCACCGTCTTGACCACCGTCTGACCCACGTAGAACTTGTAGATCATGTCCCCGTCCTCCGTGTGGGCCCGGAACTTGCGGACTTTCTCGAACAGCGCCTTGGCCTGTTCACCGTCCTGCTTGTCCAGGATGTTCATGGAAGTGGAGCCGGTGACGGGCAGCTCAAAGGTGACCTCAGGGCAGGAGGTGGTGGTGGTGGTGGGGGGGCCGATGGAATCCTTCTCAGCACTCGGGGCCTCGGCCACGATGGACTTGAGCATCTTGTTCCTGTTTTGGCTGTTCTCCGAGTCCTCGTTGGCCGTCTCGGTCACGGCTTTGGTCGTCCAGGGAGACTCGAAGCACTTGCCCAGGATGGACACGAAATGCTCGACCTTGGAGGATGTCTTGGGGAACTTGAACCAGAAGTTGCCGCTGAACATGAGGATGATGGTGTGAACCAGAGCCACGTATGGAAAATACTTGGAATACCAGGGCAGGGCTTTCTGGTAACACACCTGGCTGATGTACACGTACTGCTGAGGGTCCAGGTTGGTGATGTGTGCCGCCGTGTTGTGCTGTCTCCTGGCCTTCCACAGTGGTCCGATGTCTCTGAGACACGGTGGGCTTCGCTGTTGCGGCTTCTCCCGGGCCCTCGCGGCCGGCGCTCACTTGGGGAGCCTCTGGTTTGGGAGGCAGAGGCTGATTGTGGGACTGGGCCCTGGCGGAGGAGGTGGTGGAGTTGGGGGCCACCACCGTGTGGTCACAGGGCAGACACACCACCTTGTCCTTGGAGATGAGCAGGGTGGCTGCGAGCAGGGACACCATGAGCATAATGATGACCAGATACTCCATCAGGCAATCCCACCAGGGCTTGAGGATGCGATGAGTAGGTTGGGATTCGGCGAGATCGGTCAATTCAGTCAAAGTGATCATCTCTGACGGCAAAAACACACAAACAAACAAGATGTCAGAGACATTCATTCATTCATTCATTTAAAAAATAATAATTTAATTTTTTCGAGCACAAACGAGATAGATGTCTGCTGGAAAATAGCAATAACAACCACAATCCTTGCTTTTGATCTCGCACCTTATCATGTCTTCCAGACATCTCAAAGCGCTTCACAGGATATGCACTGTGAAGTGTAGTGACTGTGTGAATTTTATGGGCGAAACGCGGCAGCCAATTGCACCCAGCGACGTCCCCACTGATTGAAGTGACCAAATTATTATTAATATTTACTTTGAAGGGATTATTCCCCCCCCCCCCCCAGAAAAACCATCCGCTAATCGACCAATAACTAGATTCTCATTTACTGCTGAGTAAACAGAGACGTGTGTGCGGAGTAGGGAAACTTGCTAAAGGTTTCGCGCTGACCCGTCCAGGAACCAAACCCGGGTCCTCTCGCTTGTGAGGCGTTTGCTGTAACCACTGAGCTACAGGACTGCAATATCTGGGGACACGGTGTATAGTTCGGGACACGACATGTCAAGCGATGGCCGGGATGGTGGAGGGTGAACCACATGGACCTTTTCTCGTCCGGCAAATTCTTATGTTCTTACGTGAGAGGATAACTTGTGCGACTGTCACCTGGAAATGGCTTCGACCCACGACTGTTTGTGGGGACGTCGCTGAGTGCGATCGGCTGCCGCCTTTCACCCCACAAAATACACAGTCACTACACTTTACAGTGTATCCTGTGAGGCCCTTTGAGATGTCTCGAAGACGTGTTATCTTTCCATTCCCTCATCGTTGTAGCATTTCCAGGTTACCCCTCTTGTCTGTCTGTCTGTCTTTGGCTCTGTCTGGGTGTCTGTCTCTCCCTTAAATATCTCTCTCCGTCTCTCTCTCTCTTTCTATCTCACTCTCTTTCTATCTCACTCTCTTTCTTTCTTTCTCTCTCTCTCTCTCTGTCTCTTTCTGTCTGTGTCTCTCCCTCTCTCTCTGTGTCTCTTTCTGTCTGTGTCTCTCCCTCTGTCTCTCTTTCTGTCTCTGACTCTCTGTTTCCCCCACAAACACTGAGCGAGTTCAGATGGGGTGAAATGATAGAGTGAGGACACGGGCAGAGAGGAGAGAGAGAGAGAGAGAGAGACGGGCGGTGGGGGAACAAAATGGAGCGCTTCCTCACTGCTCCGCCCGTCACCAGATTCACAATCAGAGCCAATATTACCACCGAAGGGTTAACGACGCTCCACCACAGACTCTACTGATCAGTGAGAGCCACTGACCACAGCGTCCAACACACACACACACCTCATCACTGCAGTCCACCATCTCCCCCTCTCTCTGTCTCACACACTGTCTCTCTCTGTCTCGGTGTCTCTCTCTCTCTGTGTCTCTCCCATACTCTCTCCCTATGTGTGTGTCTCTCTCTATGTCTCTCTCAGTGTCTCTCTGTGTGTCTCTCTCTCTCTGTGTGTCTCTCTGTGTGTCTCTCTTTGTCTGTCTGTGTGTCCCTCTCTGTGTCTGTCTGTGTGTCCCTCTCTCAGTGTCTGTCTGTGTCTCTCTCTGTGTCTGTCTGTGTCTCTGTCTGTGTGTCCCTCTCTGTGTCTGTCTGTGTCTCTCTCTGTGTCTGTCTGTGTCTCTCTCTGTGTCTGTCTGTGTGTCCCTCTCTCAGTGTCTCTCTCAGTGTCTCTCTCTGTGTCTCTCTCTGTGTGTCCCTCTCTGGTCGCTGTGTGATGGAGATGTGTGTAACGGAAGTTGCTGTGTGTGTGTGTGTGTGAAAGTGAAAGACAAAGTGAGACTCACTGTGTGAGGAGCTGTGGGGCTCTCAGCCCTGAGCCAACCTTCACCGCCCCCCCGGGTCCTCCATCACAGCACGTGGGGCAACTCGGCTCAGGAATGTCTGCGCTCTCCTCTCTCTCTCTCTCTACATCTCGGTCTGGACTCCTCTCCCTCTCTATTGCTGACTCTCGCTCTCTTTCTCCCTCTCTCTCCCTCTCTCTCTGTCTCTCTCCCCCTCTCTTTCTCTCTCTCTCTCCCCCTCTCTTTCTTTCTCTCTCTCCCCCTCTCTCTCTCTCCCCCTCTCTCTCTCTCTCCCCCTCTCTTTCTCTCCCCCTCTCTTTCTCTCTCTCTCCCCCTCTCTCTCTCTCCCCCTCTCTTTCTCTCTCTCTCCCCCTCTCTCTCTCTCTCTCCCCCTCTCTCTCTCTCTCCCCCTCTTTCTCTCTCTCTCCCCCTCTCTTTCTCTCTCTCTCCCCCTCTCTCTCTCTCTCTCTTCCTCTCTCTCGCTCTCTACATCTCGGTTTGGGCTCCTTTCTCTCTCTCTCTCTCTCTCTCTGTGCCCCTCCCTCTCCCTCTCTCTCTCTATGTCCGTCTGTGCTCCTCTCTCTCTCTCTGTGTTTATTCTCACATCGGTGCAATAATCTGCTGTTATCCGGGGACGGGTTCCCAGGACAACAGCACTGTGCCTGAGGGGAGGACGGGAGCGGAGGGGGAGGGACACGGAGGCTGTTTCCACATCAACGTCACATCTCATCTCAACAGAGTGTGTCTGTGTGTGTCTGTCTGTGTGTTCGTCTGTGTGTGTCTGTCTGTGAGTGTTTCTGTCTGTGTGTCTGTCTGTGTCTGTGTGGTGTGTCTGTGTGTGTGTGTGTGTGTCTGTGTGTGTGGTGTGTCTGTGTGTGTGGTGTGTGTGAGTGTTTCTGTGTGTCTGTCTGTGTCTGTGTGTGGTGTGTCTGTGTGTGTGTGTCTGTGTCTGTGTGTGGTGTGTCTGTGTGTGTGTGGTGTGTGTGTGTCTGTGTGTGTGTGGGGGGGGGCAATAATTAAACCTCACACTCGGTTTTAAACAAAGGTCAACTCTCCCCCCCCCCCCCCCTCCCACACACAGACATACTGGGCTGCCTCCTGTCCCCCACCCCCCAAAAATAATTATGTGGTCACTCAACCCACGACTGTTCATGGGGACGTCGCTGTGCGCAATTGGCTGTTGCGTTGGCCCCAAGAGGACACACAGTCACTACACTGTACAGTATACCCTGCGGAGCACTTTGGAGAACGTCCCGAAGACGTCTAAATAAGACGCTTATTATTATAATTAGTTATGAATTAAAGCTCGAGGTGGATCAGGCGCTCGTACAACAGCTTTCAGTCAGAATCCCCGAGAGGCTGATCAACACCTTAACCCAACGTTGCCCTTTCGCCTCAATTGCTGCTCAGCCAAGTCACCTCTCGCTCTCCTGGTTACAGTCACATGTTTGCCCAGCCTCACGCTAACTAACAGGCCTGGAGTCTCCCTCCTCCCCCCCACTCCCGTCCTCCCCTCCCTCCCCCACCACTCTCCTGCGTCTCCATGTTAAAGCCGGAGCTGCTGTAGCTCACTGGAGGAATTAGGTAAACACAGTGCATCCCTACGAGGAGAGAGAGAGAGAGAGAGCGCATTCCATCCCAACAATCTCTCTCCGGGATTTCCAGGTGTAGGTGGGATGATGCCTGGAAATCTCACCTCGGTTCGGAGACTCTTAAGCAACGGTGATGGGTTTCCGTGTGTGTCAGACACCCGGTTGGGCAAAAAAAAAGTGACAGTCACTTTACTTTACAGTGTATCCTGTGAAGCCCTTTGAGGCGTCTCAAAGACGTGATCAAGCGCCGGGTCAAATGCCAGGAATATTGTTAATTATTATTATTATCATCATCATCAGTCACATTGTGAATCATGTCTGTCTGTCTGTCTGTCTGTCTGTCTGTCTGTGTTGTGTCCTCTCCTGCATTGCCCTCTGCTGGCGAGTCTGTGCTCTGCTGGACGGCAGGTGAACTTGGTTCAGTCTCTCCCACTGGGAAGGCTGTGGGAGGCCACGGGTCAGGCGAGAGGACCCGGGTTTGATTCCCGGGCGGGTCAGGTCAGGGCGAACCTTGGGCAAGTTTCCTTACTCCTCACTCACACACTCACACTCACACACAGACACACACACTCACTCACACACTCACTCACACACAGACACACTCACACAGACACACACTCACTCACACACACACACGCACACTCACACGCCTGTTTACCAGCAGTCAGTAGGAATTTGCTCGTTAGTCGATTGGTGGATCACTTTTCTGGGGGTAAATAATCCCTTAAAAAAATAATTACTAACAATGATAATTTGGTCACTTCAATCCACGGCTGTTTGTGGGGACGTCGCTGTACGCAATTGGCTAAGGGTTTTGCCCACAAACCAGACAGTCCCTACACTTTACACTGTATCCCGTGAAGCGCTTTGAGACATCTCAAGGATATGATAACAACAAGAAATTACATTTGTAAAGCGCCTTTCACATCAGGAGGACGTCCCAAAGGCGCGATAGCAAATGCAATGATTTTTATTATTATTATTTGTTATTATTATTATTATTATACCTGACAAGATCTGACATCAACCCGTCTGACACGGATGTAACACATTCTGTTGGACACAGACACGGTCAATAATAACGTTTTATTTACAGCCAATTTCAGCACAAGACACAAAGGGTTAATCTTTACACTTCCCGATCTGTGTTCAATCGGATTCTAACACACGGAGAAATCCCGGCACTGAATCCCACATCAAACGCGGACACACGGAGATCCCAGAGATAGACTGTTGGAATGGAATGCGCTCTCTCTCCCTCTCTCTCTCCCTGGAGGGACGTCCCGTTTACCTAATTCCACATCTGTGCCGTGTCCCGCTCCACCTTCCCCCACCTCCGCAACATCGCCCGGCTCCGCCACTGTCTCACACCGCAGGCCCGAGACCCTCCTACACACATTCATCACATCCAGGCTCGACCACACAAACTCTCTGCTTGTCGGCCTCCCACCTTACCTCCACAGGCTGCAGATCATCCAGAACTTTGCAGCCCGTGTCCTCTCCCGCACCAGGCTCTGTGACCCTTCACCCCCATCCTCGCCCGACTCCACTGGCTTCCCATCACATAGAGGATACAGTTCAAGATCCTGGTCCTCATCATCAAAGCCCTCCATGGCCTCGCTCCCCCCAACCACCCTGTTCGCTCCCTCCGCTCAGCGGGCTCCGGCCTGCTTCACGTCCCCCGCCTCGCTCGCCCCACTATCGGTGGGTGGACCTTACGCCAGAGAGAGAGTGCGCTGTCTGGCCAAGCTTTCCCGCTGCTTGTCCAGCTCGGACCCTCTCCATTACTTAGTTAGTTAGTTGGGGGCTTTGGCTTACCGGGTTAACATGAGCTGAGGGGGCGGATTTCTTGCCTCCAGTGACTGGTCGGCCTTTCCAGGTTCTGTTGATGTTAACCACTGGTGGTGAGGGTGGGGGTTAGAGCCGGGGATGGGGGGGGAGGTGGAGCGCGGAGGGGGTTACTCTCTAGGGGGCGAAGGCGAAGGGGAGGGGGAGTCATTGCGGTGAGTGTCCAGGTGTCTCCTCAGATCCACTTTACGCTGGAAGCCTTTCTCGCAGTTGGGGCAGGTGAAGGGTTTGAAGCCGGTGTGTTTACGGCTGTGGGTGATCAGGTTCGAGCTCTGACTGAAACACTTCCCACAAACCAGACACCGGTGAGGCTTCTCACCTGTAACACAACACACGGTCAGCCTCACTAACACACGCACTCACACACACACACACACTCTCTCACACACACACTCACACACACACTCACACACATGCACTCACACTTTCACACACACACACGCACTCACACTTTCTCACACACATTCACACACTCACACACACATTCACACACTCACACACACGCACTCACACTTTCTCACACACATTCACACACACGCACTCACACACACATTCACACACTCACACACACACACTCTCACACAAACACTCACACGCACACATTGTGTGGGTGGGTGTGTGTGGGTGTGTGTGGGTGGGTGGGGGTGTGTGTGGGGGTGTGTGTGGGTGACGAGGTGGGGTCAGTACCTGTGTGGATGAACGTGTGTTTCTTCATGTCAGATTTCTGGTGGAAACACTTGTGACAATACTGGCAGCTGTAGGGCCGGGTGTCGGAGTGGATCAGCAGATGGGTGGACAGTGTGGAGGAACGTTTGAAATTCTTCCCACAAATCTTACACATGAAGCTCTTCTCCTGAGGGAAACCACACTCTTCATCATCAGCATCATCACCATCATCATTATCACCATCATCATCATTATCACCATCATCATTACCATCATCATCACCATCGTCACCATCATCACAATCAACAAGAACATCCACATCACAATCCTTGTATCTGACCCGGCGCCTCATCAGGTCTTCGAGACGTCTCAAAGCGCTTCACAGGGACACACTGTAATACAGTGTAGTGACTGTGCACAGTATTTTGTGTGAGTGTGAGTGTGTGAGGGGATGTGCTGGCTCCTGCTGACCTTGTGTTGGTTGTGTGTGGCTCGGTGCTGCTCCAGACTGGCCGAGTGTCCGAAGGTTTTCCCACACACACGGCAGGGAAAGGCTTGGCTCCCGCTGTGTGAGCGACGGGTGTGAACCTCCAGCCCATGGGGGGTGGAGAAGATCTGAGGAACAAGAGCATCAGCATGGAGGTCACATGGGAGAGATGTTAGCGGGGATGAGGCTGTTGGGGAGGCTCAGTGTTAGCGGGGGTACACGAGTGGGGTGGGGGTAGCTCTCACCTTTCTGCAGCTGGAACAGGTGTAGGGCAGGGGCTTTTGGAGGAGGCGGGGACACAAGAGACTGGACGGGGTCTGTGGGGACAGGAAGTCCTCCATCAGGTGTTTGAGACCTGATGAGCTGTAGCTGCTCCAGGTGTAACCTCCGAACTGCACTCCAACCTCAGGCAGCAACAGCTTCTCTACAACAAAACAGTCAATAGTCACTGTCACACCCTGAGCCCGGGTGACACACACACTAACACACACACACACATACACACACATACACACTAACACACACAAAAAACACACACACCCATACACTCTAACACACACACTAACACACACAGCCGGGCTGGGGTCACACGGTAGGTGAGGAGAGCTCTCTCTGGGGCCTGGATGGCCGCTGGGAGCCTCTGTCACCTCAGTCACCTCACCGTGTGCTCGAGGCTCCCGCCACGGCTCGGGCTGCATCTCCAGCCCCTCGCCCCGAGCCGGGGAGAGGGGGACAGATGTCTCCTGCTGGTGGGGTGCAGGAGTCGGGCTCCCGGGGCTGTGTGTGTGTCCTGGCCGCTCGGTGAGGACAGGGATCGGCTCTGGCTCCGGCTCCCGGTAGCACTGACTCTGGGGGGAAACCAACCGCTTACTCCTCACTAGGAAAGAGCGAGGCATCGTCTGTCTGTCTGTCTGCAACCACAAAGAAACATCAGGGCTGGTCTGAGACCATCTCATCATCTCCCCAACCCCTCCCTCCCTCCATCTCTCTCTCTCCCTCCCTCCATCTCTCTCTCTCCCTCCCTGCATCTCTCTCTCTCCCTCTCTCCATCTCTCCCTCCGTCCCTCTCCTTCTCTCCCTCCTTCCATCTCTTCCCTGTCTCCATTTCTTGCCTGTTTCAAGTCCCATCTAAAGACCTTCCTCTTCAACTATGCCTTGGGCGACCTCCCACTCCTCCCGATCCGAATTCCAACCCCCCCCCACCCCAACCCCATCCCCCCCAGGGTGTCCAGCGACCTGGGACGTCTTTCTGATGTGAAAGGAGCTTTACAAGTGTCATTTGTTGTTGTTGGCCTGGAGAGCCTCGGCACCTCTGCCAACCCATCACCCCCAATGCTGCACCCCCAGCCTAGGCTGGGAGTCCAACACCTCGACGTGAGGCTTGAGCGTCACGAACTGAGCCACCGCTGACACCCGGCAGATAGAGAGTAAAGCTCCATCCGCCCTGTCCTTACAGATCCCCAGCCAACCCTACTCCCTCCACTCAGCAGACACTCACCTGCTCCATTCCCCCCACCCCTGTCCTGTCCCACTGTTGGAGGTCGTGCCTTCAGCCCCTCTGGCACTCCATCCCGGAGCCCCTCCACCTCCCTCCCTCCCTCCCTCCCTCTCACCTCCTTCAAGACCCATCTCAAGACCTTCCTCTATATCTGCGCCTTTTGGTCACCCTCCCTCCTTCACCCCCCCCTCTACCGCCCACCCTTCCTTGCCACCTCCCACCTCACTCCTTGGCCCAAACCGCTCCCCGAACCCAACCAACCCCCAGCTCGGGGGCCCGCCCTCAGCTGCCCAGCGCCTTGTGACGTCCACTCGATGTGACAGGTGCTGCGTAAATGCAAGTGGTTGTTGTTGCTGTTGTAAAGCTCTCACTCCCCCTGAACTGGGGGCAAAGTGGAGAACGTCGCCCTCCTGTGGTGACGTGGAGTAGTACAGGTGCAGTGGCCCAAAACCGGTAACGTGTCTTTAATAATAATAATAATAATCCTTTGCATTTGATACAGCGCTTTTCACGTCGGGAGGACGTCCCAAAGCGCTTCACAGAACACACTGTAAAGTGAATTGACTGTATATTTGTGGGCGAACGCGGCAGCCAATTGCGCACAGCAATGTCCCACAAACAGTCGTAGATTGAAAATGACCAATTTATTATTGTTTTTGGTTTTGGAGGATTATTATTAGGCTCTGTGTGGAGTAAGGAAACTTGCCCGAGGTTTCGCCCTCTGCCTGGGATTGAACTCAGGTCTCTCACTTGCAAAGCGAGTGCTCTAACCACTGAGCTACGGGACTGCACTTTAGCTCTTAAACCCGGTGTTTAGGAAGACCTCGTATCTGTTTTTAGTGCAAATAAAAACTTGTGGAGTCCCTGTAGCTCAGTGGTTAGAGCGCTCGCCTTGCAAGCGAGAGAACCCGGGGTTTGATTCCCGGGCAGGACAAAACTTTTAAGAAAGTTTCCTTACTCCACACACACACACACACACACACAGACCCACACACCTCTGTTTACCCGGCAATAAGTAGGAACCTGGTCGCTAGTCGATTGGCGGATCACTTTCTGGGAGTAATAATTGCTCCAAAAATAATAATAATAATTTGGTCACTCAATCCACGACGGTTTGTGGGGACGTCGTTGGGCGCAATTGGCTGCCGTGTTTCGCCCACAAAACACAGAACAAGAGGAGACAGATTCAGGGCAGCAAAGTGTTTCCGGAATAGACCAAGGGAGGGTGGCTGAGGCCAGAACAGACCCTGAGCTCGTTCAGGAATGGGGGCTTTTTCATCTGAACTCCTTATAATAATAATAATAATTCTTGTGTTTATAATTGTCACGTCTGTCATGTCAGGAGGACGTCTCAAAGCGCTTCACAGGATTTACCGTGAACTGCAGTGACTGAGTATTTGGAAGGTGATCGCAGCGGCTAATTGGCAAACGGCCGTGAAATGAATGTTTTTATTTGGTGGGAAGTTGAGACACGAGAGGAGACGCCTTTGTCACGGCCTCGGCTCAGCCTGACACACACTCAGTGCATATGGGAGTGAGGACCACATTACCATTGGCTCCAACGCGACTGACACAACCTAAGACAGACACAGACTGTCCAGGTCCTGTCTGCTGTACGTGTCAGACAAACAGAGAGGAGCGCTGGCGCCGGACACGGACTACCATTGACAGACAGACACACAGACGTGCAACACTCACCGATAACGGAGGCTCGGTGAGGACGGTCTCAGTGTAGTGGAGTCGGGGCAGAGACAAAAGCAGCCGAAGCCTAGCTCTGTGCGTGTCTGTGTCTGAGTCCGTGTGTGTGTGTTCCAACGCTCAGCTCACAACCACAGCCACTTCCTCTACAAATGGCACCTCCACTTTGCAACAGTTGATGCCCGGAATGGGGTGGGGGGGGAGGGAGGGGCGTAACTACATGTGAATCTCAGCCCGAGACACACACACGCGCACAGGCCTCTCGCCAGCGGCTGTGTGTCGGTCACTGGGTCTGAGGGGGGACAAGGGATGGAGATGAAATCAAGATAATGGTAATAATCCTTACCCTGTTCACAGACGCCTCAAAGCGCCTCACGGGATTTTGTGTAGTCTCTGTCGTGTATTGGTTAGAGTCCTCGCCTCGCAAGCGAGAGGACCCGGGATCGATTCCCCCCACCACCTCATTGCTCACAGCGAGCGGAAAGATTAATGTTTGTTGTGAAACGTTGGGCGAGTTTCCTTACTCCACACACACGCGCGCCTCTGTTTACCAGCAGTAAGTGGGAAGCCGGTTGTTAGTCGATTGGCGGATCATTTTCCGGGGGTAATAATCCCTTCAAAAAAAATAAAATTATGGTTATTCAATCCATGACTGTTTGTGGGTACGTCGCTGGGCGCAATCGGCTGATGCGTTTCGCCCACAAAATACACAGTCACTACTGTGGAGCACTTTGAGGCCACGGGATCTTTGACATCCACCTGAACAGGCAGACGGGCCGCAAGACCCACAGCGAGTGGGTGGGTGGCCGGACTGTCACCATATGGGAGATGGTGGACAGGGAGCAGAATGGACCGGTGACCATTAGTGTCTAGTAACCAGCTGCGCGCGTGGGAGTGGGGGGGGGGAATGCCTGGTTCCTGATGAGGCTCTGGGCTGGTTGTCCTGCGTGGGTGAGGGTGGGGGAAAGGGTGTGAACTGAAAGTGGAAACACACACCCCAGCTTTCCCCCAACCACCTCATTGCTCACAGCGAGCGGAAAGATTAATGTCTGTGGGAAATTGTGGGGTTAAGGGAAGGGCAGAGAGCGTGTGGTGGGAACAGTCAGACGAGCGGAATCCGTCAAACCCGTTCCCACGCCTCCCAGCGCAGAATGTTCTCAGTTTGCGACCGAACAAAAGCGAGAGAGACCCCGATCCCGGCTTCAGCAAAGACATCAGACACATCGTGTGCAGCTGTCAGCCAGCCTGGCTCAGGCGGTTAGCTTCTCTCTCTCTCTCGCTCTCTCTCGTCTCTGAGTCACAGGGTTGTGGGTTCGAGCCCTCCATGTTGGGGACTTGGTACTGATGTTTGGGTTGGGGGGGTGGGGGTGCGGGGGAAGCAGGGCAGGATTGGAGTGAGTGACATTTCCTCTGTCAGTTACAAGAGGCCAAAACATATTTAGGACAAACGGGTTGGAATTGATGCAATCGACAAGTGTCTGTGTTGGGGACAACTACTCCTCTGGGGGTTAGATACTCCGAACCCTCCCTGTAACTGTTTATCTGCGTCGGTCCCTCTAAACCTTTCCGTTTTAACCATGTTTTATTAATAATAATCCTGGCATTTGACACAGCGCCTGATCACGTCTTTGAGACGTCTCGAAGTGCTTCACAGGATACACTGCAAAGTGTAGTGACTGTGTGGTGTGTGGGCGAAACACGGCAGCCAATTGCGCCCAACGACGTCCCCACAAACAGTCGTGGATTGAGTGAGCAGATTATTATTTTTTTTTTTGAAGGATTAACCCCGGGAAAGCGATCCCCCAATCGACTGTCAACCGGGTTCCTACTGACTGCTGGTAACGTGGAGTAAGGAAACTTGGCTGACGTTTGGTTCTGCCCGACTGGGAATCGAACCCGGGTCCTCTCGCTTGTGAGGAAGTGCTCTAAACACTACACCACAAGACTCCTCATCACATCGTATAAGTATCTGAAAACGATTGACAAGATAGAGTGGAAATGAAAGCCTATTTGTCGGTGAGGTAACAAACCGGTGTGTTTAATCCAGCCAACTGTTCCCGGCTTGAAACACTGCCAGCAAATCCTGGTTTGGGAAGGTACGTTTGTGTCTCCCAGACCCGACAGAAGCACCAAATCCCCGACTGACATTCAGCCCAGCCTGTTTTTTGTTGCAAATGAATGCCGTGCGATGGAAACTCAGATGACCAGACCGATGTGCCGGTGTGAGCTGGGGGGTGGGGGTGGGGGTGGGGGGGGGGGGAAGATGATCTGAGACACTGGAGGGTGGGAACAAGTGCGGATGTTCGATGTACGTGTTTTTGTGGTCGGAGTACCACATAAGATTTTTTTTTTGTCCGCCTACATCCTACCACAGCTATCTGCACAGATCAAATGGTTTCAGAGTCTCAGGGAGGGTAGGCTTGCACTGAATCGCATCTTACAGATCTTAATCACCTCTTTCTATTCTTGATAAATCACTGTCACGAACATGAATCTGTGCAGAGTGCCATGTGGGGAGGTGGGACGAGGGCAAGAGAGAGAGAGAGAGGTGACTGGCTGGAACCAGCGATGGTGAGACACTCCGAGAAACCTGGGGAGATGGGAAGGTTTCGATGAGCGCTGTCACAGGCTATGGTTCCTGTAGTTTAAGTTGGCGGTATGAATGTTCGTGATAGGCACAGCCCGGCTGAACTCACAGAGGTAACCACAGATAGTTCATTTGGGCGCTCGCTAATCTCCAGCCTTTCATTCTCACAGTATCGGCGTCTGGTCAGGTTTTGCCTGCGCTTAACTCTATCCCTTTTCCTCCTTTGGGAGTAATAATAATAATAATAATCCTGGCATTTGACACAGCTCCTTATCACGTCCTCGCGACGTCTCCAAGTGCTTCCCAGGATACACTGTAAAGTGAACTGACCGTGTGTTTTGTGGGTGAAACACGGCAGCCAATTGCGCACAGCAGCGTCCCACAATCAGCCGTGGGTGGATTGAGTGACATTATTCCTATGCTGTGACATACATACATACACACACACACACACATATACATACACGTGTCCGTTCTGTCCATTCCTGAGTGGGTCAGTCGAGGCTTTCTCTGAAATGCATAAATATAAATATGTAAACGCAGGTTGTCGTGGTTTCTCTGAAACTTGTATCCGGCCGTCACACTTCTGGGACAATTGGCTATGGATTTGTGCCTTACACTTGGACTTTGAGCTACAGTGTAGGCTTCACTCCTGTTCACTGTGGATGTTAAACCGTAACTTTGAGAGAAATGAGGTTTCAATTAATCCTTCAGGCAAAGGGGTCAAAAATATACAACAGTCAATTCCCTTCACAGTATATTCTGTGAAGCGCTTTGCGACGTCTCGAAGACGTGATAAAGCTTCTGTATCAAATGCAAGGATTATTATCATCATTTACCTCAGTTATCCTCAGCCGGGGGAAGGGACTCCAAGGCTTTTAAATTCGAGGGCTCCTGTTGCAAAGACTGAAGAGAATGAATGACCAGAATTTGAATAATGTTTAATATTCCACCAACTACCAGACACGTGACGTCCCGTCTGGTTGTGTTTCATTAGGATGTGACCACACAGCACGAACACCAACCCTCCTACTAGAGGACAGGACAAGGCGGACATGATACCATGGAAGGCCAGGAGAGATGGGATGATCCTGGTTACTTGTCCAAATGCTCAAGTGGTTACACAGGGCTGTGCAAAAGAAAGCAATCATCCTGTTTGAATCTGGGTCTCATCCTGTGTTTATCAAGGTCCTAAACTCATTACACAGTACACAAAAAGCACGTGTTCATGTGAAAATACAGTCGCTGTTCATTATGCGGTCAATATGTACACAGGCAGCAAGCAACACAATTCAAGCGGAGGACACCAACTATACAAAACACACCGGGGGCTTCAATGGGGCAGTAGACACGGAGGAGGGGCTGGGGGGAGATTGATGAACGTTGACGTTAGTTATTTTCACACAAAAGTTTGATATAAACTGTAAGTTTGGCAAATACATAGCAGCACAATATGTACAAGCGATTGCAATAACCTGGCGGCAGATTTTATTCACCCAAAGAAACCACTCAAGCCTCGCTAACGTTTGGTCATGTGAGCGGGTACTCACTGCGACCAATAACTGCATTGGTTGACATCGCAGGCGAGGAGGGAGGGAGGGAGGGAGAGAGGGACCTGGTAGAGAGAGGGGGTCTGAGGATGACAGGTTTTTACAGCCAGCTGAGCAGTGAGTCTTTCCTTAGTTTCCCAGACGGACGGAAGGTGCACAATAATGAACGGCAGAGAAGGAGCCTGAGACGACTGGAGGAATGAGGAAGTTACTCCTGTGTCACCTCCAGCCACCATCACCACACGGGCACTATTACACATTGCTGCTCATGCTTCACAACAGCTGATGGAATAATTCTACAATCTACATTGAGTTTTTAATGCATCGCTTTCATCACAGAATTTTCCTTCACGAGAACACGTGGCACAAACATCTTTCCCTTCTGTAAATGTACATTATTTATATAGGATTTTAGTGACCGTCCAGTCAGTAGCCTTCGCAGACTCCAGCCCTTTCACAGGCCACTCAGAGCGGTCTTGACAAAGCCTGAACAAACTGGAAATTAATCGTCTTCTTGTAACGACTAACAAACGAGTCAACAGTTTAAAATGTCCTGTGTTGATTATTGCTCTGAATGGGAGGAACATTCGCTCTTAACAGGTTTGCTGTACACGACACTGAGCTAGCTGCCTGTAAGGCTCCACTAAGCCGGTCACCTTCACCAGGGGAAGGAAGGAGAACAGAGAAAGTGTTGTCAGGAAGGAGTGTCCTGATAAGTTTTGATAGCGTTTGATCAGTTGGGTCCATCTCACCCACCGGGAGCTTTGACTCGCAGGGACTGAAGGTAATTCTGCATCGAGTGTCATGATGTCAGACACTGAACAATACTAAGGTGAGAGCCTGGGTAGTAATGTCTCCTCTGCTCTCTCTCGATGCCCAGTGGCGGAGGGAGGGAGGCAGCCAAGTGGAAACGCACCGGGTGAGCTCAGGAACAGGGATCCGAAACGTGAGCAGCCCGTGGGAGGGGCAGTGGTGGGCCCTGGGTCAGTGAAACACCAGCTGTAATGGTCAGGGTTAGCGTGTGGCCTGAGTGGACAGGCTCTGGACCGTCCAGAGTTTTACAGACACTCGTGAGCAGCAGCCCACACCGACACTGCTCACACAGCTGGGCACACACACTGCCCTCGGGCTAGAGAGATGGACAGGGGCGGGTGGTGTTGTTATAGGGACAGACACCAGAGCTTGAAGGTGCGAGTTACAGAGTAACTTTGAGTACGGAGAGAGGGGGGAAGTGCCTGAATGCCATCCATGTCTGCTCTGCTCACTCCTCTCCGCACCGGGGAGGGGGAAAGCGAGGTGGGGGGGATTCAGTGTCTCCTGACCCAGGGGAACACTCACCCTGAGTGTGTGGCGTTTGTGGCTTCCCAGTCAGCCAGAGCAACACACGACGACTGCCCGGGCATCAGCCAAAAACAGCCATCACTGAAATTACCACATACACAATAAATAAAATCACTGTTTTGGTGTCAGGGTGATGACAGTGATATCCTCGCTGTGGCTGTCAGAGCCGTTTAAGAAAAATCTTTACAGTGGGGGCCAGGGTAGGAGGCTAAGGATGTGGGGGAGGGGACAGGAGGAACGGGGGTGTAAATTCAGGGTAAAGGGAAAGGCAGTTTAAAGTGACACTGAGCACAGAGCAGGACTTGGAATCTGGAAATAATAATGGCAGAAATCTAACTGTTTTGCGGGGCTGATCGGGGTCTCCTTGGAATCACAGCCCCTTCAAAATAACCTGTAAAATGTCTTCTCTGGTCTCTCTGTGTTGTGACGTGTGAGTCACACTGTGGATTAAGTGCATGTGTTTTGTACAATGATTGGTTTTGGGCAACGCAGGGTTGGTTTGTTCCTCTGTGACCCAGCGAGCCAGACTGTGGCTTTTTTGTTTTTAAACCATTCTCATGTGATTTTTCATTGCGATAGCGTCAGCTTCTGGTTGGTGAGAATGGTTCAACCGACTGAGAAATGTACAAGGTTTCCCATCAGCACGGAACATCTGTGTTCCCACTTGAGGTGTGTAAAGGCGGTCGTGCCTGGCAGGCCACAGGAGAACAACGAGCCCTGCGTGTCGGTGTCAGTAATACTGCGATTGGTAAAAAGTCTGCCATAATCTCGGTCAGTTACTAAACTTACTCATCCCCTCCGAGCACACACACAGCCACACACACACACCCACAGTCTCACGCACACAATCTCAAACACACTGTCACACACACACAGTCACATGCACACACAGTCTCACACACACAGTTATACACACACACACACAGTCTCACACACACACATGCGCACACACTGTTGGTCAGTTTTATGTCCCAAACCCTTTTCCATGTTACACTATCAAACATCAACATCACGCCACACCTCTGGGAACAGGGAGAAAACATGACACACACACAGAGCACAACACATGCACACAACACACCACGCAACACACACCACACGACTGAGCTCCTTGCTTTCCCAGCTCCCATTTTGTGCCAATAAAGAAAAAAACGAATGAGAAAAACATCCAGGAAATTAAAAATAAAAATAAAGGTTAGAGAGCAGAACGAAGGAATCTTATTGGTGGACGGTATCGGCCCTCCTGAAGACAGGAAGAGTCATTTTGTAAAGGCTCCTGGTATCTGCCATCTTCGTGTGGATTCGGAGCGAAAAGCCAAACAGATGGTGCAGACCACAGGCCACTCATTCCCGCTGTCACTAGTGCAATTGCTGAACATTAGGGGGTAGAACATTTGATGCAACCGTCTTTCTTTATCCTTCAACATAAACTCCTTGGGAGCAATGCATCCACTCTTAATATTGGATAATAATAATAATAATGATAATAATCCTTGCATTTGCCTTACTACTTCTTCGAGACGTCTCAAAGCGCTTCGCAGAATTGACCATGTATTTTGTTGGCAAAACGCAGCAGCCAATTGCGCACAGCAGCGTCCCACAAACAGCCGTGGATTGAAGTGACCAAATTCACTGGTTTCAGGGGAGCTCAGAATATTATCAGAATGGAATCATTCACAAACCAACAGAAAAACAAGACTGATCCTATTTACCAAAGCGGGAGAGGATCTGCTCAGCTACAAGAGGTTTGTTTAGCAAAAAAAAAACTTAAAAAATCAGTTTTTAGTAACTTAAAGGCAACGAAACCTTGAGGATGTGATATAAGCCAGTCGGGATAATTTGGTCAATAAGGAGGCAAGTTTGAAGGGAGATTCCCAAATGGTGGCTGTAAACATGTAACCAAAAAAAAGGGTTGTTAAAAGCTACGAACTGTGACGTGAGCGGGAAGGGAAGGTCTCTGATCTTGCACTGGCTCACAGGGAGCTTTACATCAGAAGGCCGTGGTTCTTGCTCAAGGGTTGTTAAGCCAACACTGGCCACAGCTAATGGTTTCTCCTATGTCTCAGTGCCCAGCAGTGAGCTCAGACTTACACTGACAATTATACATTTGTTGAGACACGATAGAAAAAAATCACACTGCAGCGTGTGTGCGTGGTTATGTGTGTGCGTGTGTGTGTGCACGTCTGCTCGTGCATGTACAAGGGGTGAGAAACGCACATCCTTTATGAGGATGTGATTAACGTAATTCAGTGCAGATTCTGTCCCGACTCAGGGGGCACTCCACGTGGAACATGCACGAGTTAAGGAAGACTGGAGTTTACACAACACTTATTCAGCACAAATATTTCACTCACTGACGAGGCTTTCAGACTCCTGAAAATCCTATTGGCAAACTCCACAGAAAACGCTAAATAGTTCCTAATCACCGAACTCAATCCTATCCCTACCTTCCTCACAAGCCCACACCGGCCAGTGAGACCTTGGGCAACAAGTCTTCTGATCAACTCATATTCGAGTAGTTTTGCCCCTGACAGAGGCACCCCTTATATTGGCAAATTTGACTGGAGTTTAAAATGACCCTTCATTGTGCAGCGTGAATGAGGGCCAGTCACTATGGAGTGTGGCGCTCTGTGTGTGTGTGCGCGCGTGTGTGTGAGGCAGTAGAAAGCTGGATTACACAGTGGTAGAGAGAGAGGTGGCCTTGTTTGGGCTGTCGTGGCACAAGATATGATTTGCCAACTCGGCATCCAGCTCCAGAGCAGAATTCCGATCTTCCGGATCACTGTCCGTGTTTCCCTCACTGTCCTTCCCGGACATCTCCATCCCCTGCAGGAAGTTGGCGTGGCCGTGCTGGAGGGGGTACAGGGTCTCCTGAAGCCCACTCACCACCATCGGGCTCGGCAACAGATCCTCATCAGACGAGTGAATGGATTCGTCATCCTCAACCATGTGGTTCACGATGTGGATCCCGTCGAAGCTCATCGAGGTCTCAAAGGGTCGCTGTCCTTTGAAAAGCCTGATCTGTTTCAAAAACCACAAGAGACATGAAGTCACACTGTGCAGAGTGAGCGACACACAAATACTCCTCCTGCTCCCCCCCTGCCCAAAGCAAATTATACGTCACTATCAAATCCATAGCAAAGTTTAGAACAACCATAAGTAATAATAATCCTCGCATTTGATACAGCGCCTTATCAGGTCTTCGAGACGTCTCAAAGCGCTTCACAGGATCCAGGAAGGGATTATTGCCCTGGGAAAAGCTATCCGCCAGTCCACTAACAACCAAGTTCCTCTTTACAGCTGGTAAACAGAGGCGTGTGTGTGGAGTAAGGAAACTTGCCCAACATTTCGCTCTGTCAGGTATCAAACCCAAGTCTCTCGCTTGCGAGGCGACTGTTCTAACCACTGAGTTACAGGACTTGACAGTGATGAGCACAGTCTGTGTTCAGCGAGCTGCAGTAAGCTGGTTTCTTGGTAAGACTTCAGAAGCCTGTTTGCCGCTCGCTCTGAGTGCAGTCTAGCTTGTGTTTTCTAGGTGTAAGTTGGCAAGATTTGCTTTGATGGTGGTACAGTAATATCCCACACCCTGCAGCCTCGCCATGTTCTCTCAGGTCTCTCACAACCTCACTGAGCTCTTCATCATCATCTCATTGCACCACAGCCTCCCACTGCTAACCACAAGGACTCGAAATCCACCCATCTCTCCCCAAGCTCGGTCTCTCAGTCTGAATAAACCATCCTCGACATTTTGTGCAGGGGGGAGATAGAGGAGGAGGTGGAGGAACACAACAAGTGTGGAGTGAGGTGAGGTGGGTGACGAGAAATGTACAGAAGCCATGTGTAAGTTGACATTTTATACCCAAATTGAATCAGATACAAGCACAAAACAAAGAGGGGTCAAGGCAGATTAGGCTGCAAAGCGAATAAGGTTGTTTGTGGTGCGCCAATGGCAGGAAGGGAGAGGAGTGTGGAACAGAACCACAACAACAACTTGCATTTATATAGCGCGCTTCACATGGGGTAGTGTCCTGGAGCATTTAAGTGCAGTGATAATAAGCAGAGAAAATTCAGCAAGTCTTAATTTACAGAGGTATTCATGGGGAGGGGGGGCAGGGAGGGGGTTACAGGGATATGTCTGTGGCTGTGATACCAGGTTCCTGAGCCAGGAGGGACCGCAGTATTCCAGGGCACTCACTGCTGATGGCAGCACAGCCCGGCCCATCCATCGGCAGGACCTGGAAGGCAGATCAGTCACTGGGGGCAGGGAATCCTCCCCCTCAGCTCCTGTTAACCCCGCAGCCAAAGCCCCCTAACTAACGGGGAGGGTGGTCCTAGCTGGACAAGCAGCGGGAAAGCTTGGCCAGACAGCGCTCTCTCCCTCTCTCTCAATGGGCAAGCTGTGTGGGTTTAGCTGGTTAGATTCCAGCAGTTACCCCAACGCACCCTCTGATAACAGGTCCCATGATGTAATGCAATCAAACCCAGAGGTGAGCGGTTGTGACTGTACCTCAGCCTTTAGCTCTGCAATCTGGTCTTTCAGCTCACGGATATACTGATTGGAGTCGCAGTTATTCAGCTGCCCTTGTATCCTTCCCTCTTCTCTCTAGACACGAACCAGAAAAACACAATCAACATCAGATCACGTCAGAGCCTTTTTTTTAAAAAAAACAATTATTTGTTGTCACATGAATAGGATGGTCTGGAGATTGATTTTTGTCTTAGTTTGATCTCTCTGCCCTCCTCGCAGGTGTGAATGGCTCATGTTTTTGGGATTTGGAGTGAGGCCTGCTTCGTGCTTGGCTGTGAAATGGCCTCAGTATAGACAGCTTTGCCACTCGATTCTTCAGGTTGACATTAAATATTCTAGAACAGAAGAATTTGCTGGGCCTCAGAAGACCGAGGTCCATCCAATTTACCTTCCCTCCTCCTGGCAGTTGCTTGACATGTCGTGTCCCAAACCATACACTGTATAACTCCCACCCCCCCAGATATTATTTCCTCGCAGAAATCGATCTTGTTTGTTCTCGGAACAAACGACACTTGATGTGGGTGGGGCGAGTACACGAGACAATCACAGCATCTTTCTACCTGGATCTCCAGATCAGCGATTCGCTGGCGCAGTTCAGCAATGGCCGCCATGCTGTCTGCTTCTCGAAGCCGCACCACCATGATCTCCTCTTTGTTCTAGATCAAGAGTCAAAATCAAAATGGATCACTCTGTGCTTACCAGGAGTATCTTGCAACGTTTGTAAATTTATTGCCATATCTCAGATGCCAGCCTGGCTCAGCTGATAGCTCTCCTGCCTCAAGAGTGAAAAGCTTGTGGAATCAGAAACAACAGGATTCTGGAGTAGAGGCAGATTGAGCTGAACTCAGGCAAGTTTCATCTCGTGTTTACATGCTGCTCTGCACTGGCCTAACCTGTTTTGTTAATGTGATGTGGACGGCTCAAGAATCTTCATTATAATAACAATCCTTATGTTCCTGGTTGATCTTCAAAGGGATAAAATAATCAGTGGCAATGGTGACAGAAGGCTTGCTGTTTGTGAAATCCCCAACCCTCCCCACACCCCTCCACCTCGGGCCGTACAGCTCACACACTCACACACTTCAGTACATGGAAATGTGGTTGGAGACCTACAACATTTTATTTAACTGTCAAAGGGGCGACATATATTTTTAGAAAAAGAAAGTACCAGGCTGATTCAGTGACCCAAATAATTTGATCAAACAAGATTTACTGCTAAAGGTACAAACACTTACATCACCGTGTTCCCTGGATGAGATTTTTATCTCAATACATCTTGGAACATGACTTGGTTACTTGACTGATTCCACTCTCTAGAGTATTAGGCGCAGGTTGGCTTGAATGGGGGAGAGCCCAGAGTTGGGGTAAATGCTGGAGTCTAACGAGCTAAAACCACACAGCTTGCCATTGAGAGAGAGAAAGAGTGCTGTCTGGCGAGCTTTTTCCGCTGCTTTTCCAGCTAGGACCACCCTACGAGTTATTGATATAGAGACATGATTTATACCTCATCGGAAAGGTCTTGTACTTGGGAATGACATGGGCATATTTGTTTTTGGGTATCTCCTATCGTTCAGGAGTTATTTTCAGTTTTGCAAGAGTAGCTGCAAGGGGTACAGCTATTGTGAAACAAATGTCTTAATAAATATGAACTGAACATCTGGCAGTGAGTAAATCTAAGGCTTCAATTCAATCTTGTAAAACAAAGTAACCAAGGAGTTAGAGTATCTAAACCTGTCTGAAAACAATACAAGAATTCAGAGCTTCCACTGAAAATGAAACCTGTTAGAAGTGCAATGTGCTTTAGCAGTCATCTCCACTGTGCTTCTGCAAGACAGCCCCCACCCCACCCCTCTCTCTCTCTCTACCCTCACAGCATGTTCAGCCGTTTGAATACAAGCCTCTGTGTCGAGACCACAAGATGCTGGGAGCATTTGAACAGAGGAGATGTTGTGAAGTTTGATGGGTAAACAGGTTGACAAGAGGCAGATTGACTGCTGTGGAACACATGCAACCCTGCAGCTTTGCTGAGGTTCTGCACAGTGACGGGAGGTGAGACCACTAGCAGCGACTGAGTGCCTGAGTCTGTTCTACCCACATGGCAATGGAGAAGCATTTGATCGTGTGGTATGGCTGAGACAGACACGAGTGGCTCAGACACGAGCCGGCAGATTAAATGTCATCCCAACACCGGAGGTGGAGTGGCCGATTCCGAGCTTCACAAGCCCCAATTCTTCCAAGCAGCCACAAAGTGCAATTTGTTTCACCAGCCTCTTGGCTCCCCATCCCCAGAGGATAGAGTTCAAAATCCTGGTCCTCACCTTCAAAGCCCTCCATGCCTTGCTCCCTCCTACCTCTGTGATACACACACAGGTTACAAACCTGTTTACTACTTGGTAAATTTACAAGATGTCAGTCAGTATTTCCAGGAAAATATCTTTACGTTTTAGTTTCAACATGACAAACTGCAGCTAGCTCCCTTGCTCACTGCCTCCCTCACTGCCTCACTGCCCCTCTCACTCACTGCCCCTCTCACTCGCTGCCTCCCTCCCTCACTCACAGATGCAAATGCAAATCTCCATGTGAAACTGAAAACCAATCACTGTAACACCTCAGTTCACACCATGCTCAACATATACGCAAGTAGATGACTACAGAGCAACACTTGTAACTCGGTGATTGAGATCCATAAACCTGAGGTAAGAGACAGATTTACAGCATCAATAAGCTAATTTTACTGTGTGTGTGTGTGTAGTGGTGTGTGTTGTGTCTATGTGTGTGTAGTGTGTGTGCGCGCGCGTGTAGTGGTGTGTGTGTAGGTGTGTGTGACCAATTTTAATTGGGGAATTTTTGGTCAGGACACAGGAAGAAAGAGAGAGGGGGGAGAGAGAGAGAGAGAGAGAGAGGGAGAGACTCCCTTTTCTTTTTCCTGCGGGATCTTTAACAGCCACCTGAACAGGCAGTCAGGAATTCGGTTGAACATCTCATCCAAAGGAAGGCAACCCCCTCCCGCCCACCCCCACCACACTGCGCAGGAGAGTGTCAGCCTGTATGATACGGATTCCAAGTTCCCAGGTGGGGCTTGAACCCACAAAACTCTGACTCCGAGGGGGGAAGAGTGCTATCAACTGAGCCAACCCCACATTACTGTTGATTTGCTTCCAAAACCTGCCCCCTGAGCGAGTGCATTGCTTGAAGGCTCGATGGCCTGACTTGGTTTTTGAACCGAGAGGATGGCAAAAAAAAGTCACGTCATCTTAAATAGACACAAGAGAAAAAATATATCTTCACACAATCTTGACTCTATACCAACTGCTGTGAGTCACAGGCCAGATACCACCCCAACACCAACACCTCTGACTCACGCTTCAAAAATTGCAGATGTCAGTCTATTTAGCACTAAATGTGTTCCATGTACAGATTTCTCCGCCTCCCCCACCCCCCCACTCACACACACACACACCCTCACCCGATTCACTTCAAGGAGGTTTTCATTACCGTCAGCAACACGTTAGATAGATTTGCAGCGTGAGGGAGTAGGAGGTGAGAAGAGGGTGGAGTTATCGCAATGCTTTGGCCGTTAAAAAATGGGCCAACAAACCAGACGATCAGGGAAGAATCAGCCCAATTGGCCAGACAGCACTTTTTTTTGTTGAAAGGAATAAAAAGGTTGAAGTTAGTGTTGTGCAGCCTCACCTTACACTCCACCTCGGCTTGCTTGCGTTTGATCTCACTCAGCTGCGTCTGCAGCCCTTTGTTCTGAGCTGTGGTGTACTGTAGCTTGTCCTGTAGCCCTGTGCAGGCCTGCTCCGTCCTGGTCAGCAGGTTACTCTTCACCTGGTTCTGAGAGCACAGAGTGAGTTAACTACAACAACAACAACAACTTGCATTTACACAGCGCCCCTCCCCTCGAGGGCATGAGGGACAAGCTGGAGCCAGTCGAGCGGAGGCAGCGGGTAGTGGGTGGGGAGCGGGGCAGGTCAGAGAGGTAGGGAGGTGCCAGGGCATGAAGTTAAATTAACAAATAACAATGGGATCTCAGTCACGCTTTAGAATTGTGTTCTCTTTCTGGTGCTGTTGATTGGAAACGGAAGGTACAGGCAGAACAGAGCTGGAGGAGGCCACCGAGATAGTGAATGACACCATCGTGAAGGGATTTGAAGGTGAAGTCAAGGATCTTCAAGCACTTTAAACACTCACAACCAAACACACACACTCCTCTTGCTTGTCAGAGGAACGTCAAAGACTTTATACTGTTAACTTCCTGTTTCCTATCAAGCCTGTAGGTCTGGTCAAACACCACTCAGTTTCTCGTGTTAGTAAAACAAGAGTTAGGAAATGATTCATTAGTTAATCTATAGAAATAATGATTTTGTCAGCTGTTCACTCAGGGTTAGCTACACTTACTAACAACTGTTATAAACAGAGAGAATTAGGCTTGGAATAAATAAGCACTATTACCTTAGCCCCTAAAAACACAATGTTTTACATTTTGGTTTGTAAAGAAAGATGGACAGGACTCAGCAATGCTGGAGGCTTAAACACAGGAACAGGAGGAGGCCATTCAGCCCCTCAAGCCTGTTCCACCATTCTATTCTATAAGATCATGGCTGATCTGTTCCTCAACTCCAATTCCCCGCCTTTGCCCCATATCCCTTGATCCCCTGACCTAAGTCTGGACAATGTGAATGGATCCAGCCATAATCCACAGTCTTTTGGGAGAGGGATAGAGTTCCAGATTCCCACTGGTCTTTGGGTGAAAAACTTCCCCTAATTTCACTCCTGAATGGGCCCGGCTCTAATTTTAAGATGATGCCCCCTTGGTTCTGGATTCCCCCCCCACACCGCCCCACCAGAGGAAACAGTTAATGCCGGTTGGGGCAGCACTAATTACATGGACGAAAGCAGGACATCTCGAAAGCTGTTGAAAAGCATCAATTTCAAACCGGCAGCTAGTTCAGAGGCTTGTGGCGCTCCAATTAACACAGTTACTGGGGCTGCTATTGCTGTTAGCGATCACGTGTGGCGACATCGAGAAGGTGTGACAGACCAACATCGGTTCTCAACCCCGGCTGACAGGAATTATCAGCCTTGTTGGTGGTCGAGCAGCAGTGGTGGTGGATATTTTTTTAAAAAAATACTCAAACTAAACTAAAAATGTCAAACTGTGGAATTGCGACGGCCCCTGTTGCCGGTTTGGGCCACGATCAGTGCTAAACTGACAGACTGAAGTGAACTGCAGACTCCACGGGGCTCAGATACACTTCAAGATCAGAATCATTAAACCAGTCGTTTAACTCCAACGCACACAGTACCCCTCACACAGTACCCCTCACACAGTACCCCTCACACAGTACCCCTCACACAGTCCCCCCTCACACAGTACCCCTCACACAGTACCCCCTCACACAGTACCCCCTCACACAGTACCCCCTCACATGGTCCACATAGTAAAACACCCTTCTTTGTGTCTCCAATACATCACAACTATCCCCCACCCAATTCCCACTCTCCTCCCACCCCTCACTCCCTCCGCCAACACCCTGCTTGCCAGCTCTTCCTTACACAAGTTTCCAGAGCTCTGCAGCCTGTACCCACTCCTGCAGTGGGTTCAGCGAGCTGATCAGTCCCTTCTCGCTGAGCACCACTGGCTCCGCACCACCCCCAGCGGATCAAGTTCAAGATCCTCATTCTGGTCTGTGAATCCCTGCACGGTCTCACCTCACTCTACCCCTCCAACCCCCCCCAACCTCTCCAACCTCACCTTCCCAGGCACTGCATCGTTCAGCGAACCCTGGCCTAGTCTGCCATGTGCATCACAGCCGATACCTGAGTGTCCAGCTCCAGAACACGGTGTCTAAGCTCTCGCATCTCGGCCTGTGCCTGGGCTTCCCGAAGCCGGACGCTCATCAGTTCATCGTGTAGCTCGTTCACAGCGCTGTTCTTCCTGGGAGAATCCTTCCACCGACCCCCGGTTCTTGCCAGGTGTTTCTGTAGAGGTTTGACAATGAGCGTGAGAAAAGGACCCGTCGTTTACAGCTGCACCGACCTGTCTACGTGACGCAACTTTACATCAGCAAATAGGAGCAAGACGAGGTGTTAGGAACTTAACTGTGAGTTTAATGGATCCAAACCCAACCAGAGAGAGAACTGGTGATGTCATTTATAGAAAATGTAAAGATTATTGAGAATTGACTACAGATATTCCTCAATAATAATACAATAATATAACAGTATAATAATAATCCTTGCATTTGATACAGAGCCTTATCACGTCTTTGAGACGTCTCAAAGCGCTTCACAGGATACACTGTAACGTGAAGTGACTGTATATTTTCTGGGTGAAATGTGGCAGCCAATTGCATAAAGAAGAAGTGTCCCACAAACAGTGGTGGATTGAGTGACCACATTATTATTATTTATTGAAAGGTTTATTACCTCCAGAAAGCGATCCGCCAATCGACTAACAACCGGGTTCCTACTTACCTCTAGGTAAACAGAGGTGTGTGTGTTGTGTGTGTGTATGTATATGTGTTGTGTCTGTGTGTGTATTGTGTGTGTATGTATATGTGTTGTGTCTGTGTTGTGTGTGTGTGTGTGTGTGTGTGTGTGTATGTATGTATGTGTGTGTGGGGGTGTGTGTTGTGTGTATGTATGTGTGTTGTGTCTGTGGGTGTGTGTGTACGTATGTGTGTTGTGTCTGTGTGTGTGTGTGTTGTGTGTGTGTATGTATGTGTGTTGTGTCTGTGTATGTGTGTTGTGTCTGTTGGGGTGTGTGTGTGTGGAGTAAGGAAACTGGCCTAAGGTCTCATCCTGACCCGACCGGGAATCAAACCCGGGTCCTCTTGCTTGCGAGGCGAGCACTCTAACCACTACACTACAGGGACTCCACTGTTTGGGAGCTCACACACACTCAGCTTACCTGCCAGTGTTCATCCAAGTCCTTCACCTGCTGGTGCAGCTCTTTCAGAGAGTTGACGGCCTCTGATTCCCGCAGGTTCATACCTTTCAGCTCCTCCTGTAGCTGAGCCAGGTTATTCTCATCAGGCAGCGAGCTGTTCTTCTGTAACCCACAATCACACACACACACACACACACACACACGTGCGGTTAGTTATTGCCAGTCCCAAGTCAGACTTACTCCACCAGGGATCATCATAATAATAATAATCCTTGCATTTGATATAACGTCTCATTACGTATTTGAGACGTCTCAAACCGCTTCACAGGATATACTGTAAAGTGAGTGTAGTGACTGTGTGCTTTGTGGGTGAAACACGACAGATGATTGCGCCCAGTGACGTCCCCGCAAACAGTCATGGATTGAGTGACCACATTCTTCTTTTTTTGAAGGGATAATTACACCCAAGGAAGTGATCCGCCAATTGACTAACAAGGGGTTCCGACTTACTGCTGGGTAAACACAGGCGTGTGGTGTGAAGTAAAGAAACTTGCGCTGCATTTCGCCCTGCCGGGAATCGAACCCGGGTCTCTCGCTTGCGAGGCGAGCGCTCTAACTACTGAGCTACAGGACTCCACGTGATAGCCACAGAGGAAGACAGAGAAGGAAGCGCGTTGATTAAAAGTGTGCTGGGAGACAGTATTTTGAACGATGGAGAGTTGTTAGAGAGAGAGAGAGAGAGAGAGAGCATCTGCATCAAGTTAGAACATGTGAGAATGGCCACACACACACACACACACACACAAACACACACTGAGACCTGCTGAGGTTTCTCAGGTTTCTGCCAAGACCATCCACTCGCTGTTCACACGCTCTATTCTTTCTCAAGCTGCTACAAGTGGTTCACAACCCAGCTCCCTGACTCAGCATTCACTGGCAAACTCTCAGCAGCACAACTGATGACGGTAAAAGGTCTTCACGAAGTACAGCCGCACATGTACACGTGCACACACACACACACACACACACACACACACATGTACACATGCACCAACACACAAGCGTCTACACACAGACACAGCCACACACAGCCCTCCACAGACAGATAGGGCATGAGAAGATATTATTGTGCAACATTAATTATTGATGCCAGAACACTGGGTAAACTCTACAGTTTGACTTCCCGAGAACATTCTGTAACAAGCGGAGAGGCGAGGCACGGCACTGCCAGAACAACAAGCTTAGGGATGACAAGGACCATCTAAGGATAGATACCAAGATACCAACTTTTTCTTAACCCAATTAATAGCTCAAACTGGTGGGGGGTGGTTGAGGCCTGGATGTTAGAACTCGTTTGATGCTTTGATGGGAAGAAGGTCGGGTGGATAATCTAATACCAACAACAACATGCACTTATCTAGCGCCCTCCACCCAGGATAGCATCTCAGTATCTAATGCCCTCCACCCAGGGCTCTAACCAGTTGTGATGTAAGCTCCCGGTCTGGAAGAGGTCAGAGGACAGAGAGCAGATCAGATGTGCTGGACGGCTGGACGGCCAGCCGGCTGGTCTAGCAAAAGCTGCTGTCGCTCGCGTCTGAACTTTCCGAAAAGGGTGAGATTTGAGCCGACTGAATGAGAGCAAAGACTCTGCTCTGTGATTGCAATCAGTTTGATGTACGGAGCCCGACCCGGACGCAACAAGTGGTTACTGACAGCAGCACCTCACACCAATCTGTACATTGTAAACGTTGTGGCAGGAGAAAAAAAATCTGTCGCCCATGCTACGGTTTCCTGGAGTTTTTACCAGAAATCATGTGTGCATGTCTGCAGTCAGAACAAACCTCCCTTAACCCTTTGCACACTCACAACTCTCTAAAGGGAGTGACCCTGAGAGCAAACAGCAACTCCATATTCAATTGCACTGAGCACTGAGGTCCATGTGAGGGAGGAGAGGAGGGGGATTGAAGGGGTGGACAGCACAGACACTAATGCGTCTTAAAAGCAAAGGTGTCTTATTTTAAACCCTTAAAAAACACAATCACATCCATAACAAGCTCCACACAGCTGTTCACAGCAGAGCTCGCCCACCCCCACACACACCCAGCCTGGCAAAGCGAGACTGCATAACAAAGCACTTTGCAAACTTTGCAACAAGAATACTCGAGCCCCGACTGTACTGCGCTCTCCTTTACATACAGAATATCAGGACAAAAGAGGATTAGTGTTTTGGTTGGACCAGTGCTTCTGGAAAGCCATCGCCTGGCTGAAGAGTATCCAAACAACAACAACAAGATTCCATTTATAAAGCGCCTTTCACGTCAGGAGGACGTCCCAAACCGCTCAGAGCTGCGACACCGGCCTCAAGTCTGAAATCTAACCTTGGGTGAAATATTTGGGAGTTTAACACCACAGCCATTTACCATTCCAGAAATAAAAATGGCCCCTAGTTCAACGTTTGTGGCAACTTCAGAAGAAATTGTGCAATGGGAGATCCAGAACCAGTGACCAGATGATTACTGGGGGGGTGGGGGGAGGAGAAGGCAGGTGGATTGTGATCCAATCCTCTCCTCCTCCCAGCAAAGCAGACTACCTGCAAAGTCCCTCACCAGTTACTATGATTTATTGGATGATTTATTTATTTTGTTAATGAATGTGTTATTTATTTTCAACTTGAAACTTTCTCTATCAAGAGAGGAAGTGATTTCAATGGAGACGGGGCGAGGACTGAGTGTGGTTGTGAATGCTTGCTCCCCAGTCGCACATAGTCACACACAGGCCTAGTTCAGAGAAACTGACATGTCAGTGTTAGTAACACGATGAACCCACAGAATTAAGAATCTGTTAAACCATTTTCCTTTACAAGGCCTGAGATGGGAAAAGCTTTTTAACCATCTAAACTGACTCAGATTCAATACTCCGACATGAATAATAATCTTAGCATTTGACACAGCGCCTTATCACGTCGAGACGTCTCAAAGCACTTCACAGGATATAATGTAAAGTGGAGTGACTGTATGTTTTGCGGGCGAAACGTGGCAGCCAATTGCGCACAGCAGGGTCCCACAAACAGTCATGGATTGAGTGACCACATTATTATTTTGGGGGAGAGGGATTACTACCCCCGGAAAGTGATCCGCCAATCGACAAACAAGCGGGTTCCGCTTCCTGCTGGGTAAACAGAGGCGGGGGTGTGCGTGGAGTAAGGAAACTTGCCCAATTTTTCACCCTGACCTAGCCGGGAATTGAACCCAGTTCTCTCGCTTGAGTACTCTAACCACTGAGCTACAGGACTCCATGACTAGGAAACAGCTGAAAATCCCAGAAATATTCACCGCACTCTCTCACCTTCTCTATTTCCAACACTTTGTCCTGCATCGCTTTGAGCCCAATCAGTGTTTCTGCCTCTTTGAGTCGAGACTGTTCCAGTTCTGTCTTCAGCTGCAGCACAAATTCCTGTGTACAGCGATGATCACACTATGAAACGGAAACAAAATAGATAGATATTCGAGAAGGACAGATTTGCCGGGCAATGGGGAGAGGGTGTGGGAGTGGGATTAATTTGGATAGCTCTTTCAAAGAGCCGGCACGGGCACAATGGGCCGAATGGCCTCCTTCTGTGCTGTATAATTCTATGATTCTTTAGGAAAGGTAAAAACAACTAAACATTTTAGTAAATATTTAAAGGCTTGAAATATGGATACGAGAAACTGTGACACAAGCCATTGATTATTGGCAAATGAAAATCACCAATATTCACCAGGACACAAATGGTCACATGAGATTACATGCACACAGAATCTCCTAATGTACTGATGGCATAATGATAATCATCCCCACATTTGATACAGCGACTTATCACGTCTTCGAGACGTCTCAAAGCGCTTCACAGGATACACTGTAAAGTGTAGTGACTGTGTGTTTTGTGGGATGATCTCTCTGACATGTGCCTGCTCAACAATTGTTCGTCAACGTATGTTGTTGTCTTAACAAGGAAGAAGAGAACAAAACAAGATCCGGTTAGTTTAGGAAGAAGGATTCTTACTTACTGCTTGGTAAACAGAGGTGCGTGCGTGTGTGTGTGTGGAGCAAGGAAACTTGCCCAACGTTTCGCCCTGACCTGACCCACCGGGGAATTGAACCCAGGTCCTCTCACTTGCGACGTGCGGTCTCTAACCACTGAGCTACAGGACTCTATACATGGGAGAGTGGCAGTAGTCACCATAAAGCATGGTAGTGGGTGCAGGATGAAGCTGGAGCAGAAGGCAGACTGACTGTTGGAAACAATGACATGTTTTACTCTCGAGTACAGTTGTCTGAGACACTCACATGTAGGCCAAACTAATTATAGCTATCGGCTGGTTCTCAGCCACTGGAAATGCTGATTGGGAGACATTGGTTCCTATCTGGTAAAGTAATATTCACTGCATCACCTCTGTCCCTTCATATATGTTGTGTGTGTGTGGAAGGGGTGTGGGGGGGAGGGCAGGGGGCGGAGGAAGAGGTTGAGGTAAGAAGCCTGACCACAGACTGCTGACAGGGTAATTAAAGGCACAGGCAGGATTTCCCTCCTCATCAAAATAACATTAATAATAATAATCCTTGCATTCGATACAGCGCCTTATCACGTCGTCGAGACATTCCTTCACAACAAGATACACTGCAAAGTGTAGTGACTGTGTGTTTTGTGTGGCGAAATGCGGCAGCCAATTAATTGCACACAGTAGCGTCCCAGTCATATACGGACACTCCTTATGGAAGTCCTTCTAATTCTGCACTGGGTGAGTGAGGAGAGTCACCTGTTGCAATGACTTGCTGTTCTGTAGGAGTTGGGGTCATGGCAACAGGGACCCAAAGATTTTAGTGACAGGTGGCTGCTGTGGGCAGAGGCTCGTGGGGGTGGGGGTGGGGGATAGGGGAGAGAAACCACTTGTGAGGGGTGAAGCTGTGGTAAACAATATACCAGACACAGCCGGGCTCCGCTGTGCTTTTACCTCCTATTGTTGTTGAGGATCCAATAGGCAAAAAGCAGACAATTCACCCAGATTCAATCCACGGCTGTTTGTGGGGACGTCGCTGGGCGCAATCGGCTGCTCCATTTCGCCCACAAAATACACAGTCAGTCCACTTTACAGTGTATCCTGTGAAGCGCTTTGAGACGTCTCAAAGACGTGATAAGGCACTGTATCAAATAAAGGATTATCATTATTAGGCTGGGTCTCCAACGCTACAACACTCCTTCCATTTTATATGAAGCCCAGCACACTGACATGCCTCAAAGTACTTTTTCTGCCAAAAGATTCACAGCAACACTGCTCTCTCTCTCGCTCTCTCTCTCCACTCTCGCTCTCTCTCTCCTCACCCGATTGAGATAAGAAAAGGGTTTGAATGATTTGACTGATTACAAAGCGAAGCAGCAACACAGATTATAGCTTTGCTAACTTACATTTTTTGACCAAGATAATAAAGTCTGTGTTGCAGTTTTGTTTTAGCAGAAATCTCACGGGCTCCACCCAACCTGACTATATGCTCAATGTGTCATAATGGCCCCCACACACCATAAGCCCTCGCTCCCCTGCCTCCTGAAGGCTTTCACAGCTTGCTTTTTATCAGATAAACTGTCGTTTACGTGAAGGGTTTTACCCAGCTGCCTACAAACCAGGCCGTCTGTATTCAAGTCAACTCCAAGCCGGCAGGGGTTACCAGCAACATGAGGTTGGCAGCTGCTGGGATTGCAATTTCAAAACAGTCTGAAAGGCACTGAGGGGAAGGTAACAGTAGTGGCCACAGCTCGTGTGACATTGTCAAGCAAACCTCTCCCCTCCCGCTGAGGCCTAGTTTATTATTATTATTGTGGGGTGTCAGTCGTGCAGATGAGCTGACATGAGATGTCTGTATGATATATATATCATAATATATAACACTCAATCCACGGCTGTTTGTGGAGATGTCACTGGGCACAATTGGCTGCCGTGTTTCTCCCACAAAATACACAGTCACTACACTTTACAGTGTATCCTGGGAAACGCTTTGAGATGTCTCGAAGACGTGATAAGGCGCTGTGTCAAATGCAAGGATTACATTAACGTATCGCCTTCCAAGCCAGGAAGATGTCCCAAGGCGCTGGACAGTCAGGGATCCACACCCGAGCTGGGGGTTGGGACCAGGAGGGGTTGGAGGGTAGGGTTTGGAGGCGAGGCAGAGGGATGGTGGGATGGAGTTCCAGGGGGTGCTTATAGGGTGCTAACATGCTTAAACTTCTCCATCTGACAGATTGGATCAAATCTCACGGTAGATGGTAGTGAACAGTCGGGAGGAGTTCTGACACCTGTTTAACTAGATCACCGCTCAATGTGTGTGAGCTCTCGTACACAGTTAAACCGTCTGAGAGAGGAACACCTGCCCGGCACATCCCCCCAGAAAGATCTCTACCGATAGCACCCGTTCCTGCACTCCAAGTCAGAGCCACGTTAGCTGGGTTTGTACAGCCAATACAATTCTGGAGGAACCTGAACAAGGACTGCGGATAGTCAGCAGCAGGTTCAGGGCAACGATTGAATTCAGGGGGAAAGCAGGAGAGAGAGAGAGCCCTCTAACTGTTCTAGAGCAAAAACAGTGTTTCTGGAATAAAGATTTGAGTAAAACGAATCCAATAGCAATCAAATCCAATGGTCAGATATTGGGTATTGGCCAGATGAGGATGACCTGACCATGTCCTTACCCTGTTTGCCTGCAGCTCCTGGATGCTGTTCTGCGCCTCCTCTAGTTTCTCGCTGGCCGTGTTGAACTGTTGCCTCGCGACAGCCAACTCCCGTTTGATGACATAGTTGTCCTCGGCCTCCTGGGCCCTCGTCACTTGTCCCTGGAGCAGGTTCACAGGAGAGAGAACTGTTAGAGATAAGGACAAACGTGTGCAGGTCTCTGGGAAGGATCCATTTAATAATCCTGGCTTTTGACACGGCGCCTTATCACGACTTCGAGAGTCTCAAAGCGCTTCACAGGATACACTGTCAAGCGAACTGACTGTATATTTTGTGGGCGAATCGCGGCAGCCAATTGCACACAGCAGCGTCCCACAGACAGCTGTGGATTAAAGAGACCAATTTATTATTATTATTATTATTTTTTAAGGAATAAGCAATCGACCAATCGACTAACAACTGGATTCCTACTTACTGCTGGTAAACAGAGGCGTGTACGTGGTGTAAGGAAACTTGCCCAACGTTTCACCCTGACCTGCCCGGGAGTCGAACCCAGGTCCTCTCGCTTGCAAGGCGAGTGCTCTCACCACTGAGCTACAGGACTCTTTATTGCCACAAACCTACAAACAGGTTTGTCTATTCTCATCTCTCACTGAATGCCTGGTGTTGAATAAAGATCCAGGGATTCCTGCCCTATGCCTACATCAACATCTTTCCCACAAAATACACAGTCACTCCACTTTACGGCATATCCTGTGAAGCACTTTGATACGTCTCGAAGACGTGATAAGGCGCCGTAGCATGTGCAAGGATTATTATTATTTATTATTATGAAACCCAGTTGGTATCAGTGACGTTAGTGAAATAATCTTTGGCGATTGAAAACATTCACCTCACAACCCGACTTCTTTCACACAAACCACACGACCTAAACTAGGCCAAGTCCCAGTTATTTTATTTGTTCCAAATACAAAACTCCTTATCCAGCACTTCGAATGAAAGGCTTCTGCCTCATGCAGCTGACATCCTACCCGGCCTCCACCCTCCCGACCTTCAAACCTTGCATAGTGCCATTCTCTCCCAAATAGGTCACGTCAGTGATAGGAAGACAAGTCAGGTTTATTCAGCTTGGCTCAAATTCTCGCAACAGAAAACACCCAGCAAGCACGCCTCTAGAATGCAGACACTTATAAACAGTGAACTTCAACGAGGAGGATGAGGGGGCAGTGAGATCATGCAGTCGTGTAATGACTAGTTAGAGAGGTTAGACCTGAGGCTTGGGTTACTGTTCTGGTGCTCAGGCAGGGGAACATGCAATATGCAGATGAGAGGTGACTTCAGGCAAGCAATGGATACTGTTCACTTTGGAAGATCAGGTGAATAGGATTTGTCGTGGTGGAAAATGGGATCTCATACCTGGATCAACCTATCTGCCAGGGCAGCACTTTCCTACAGGGGTAATCCAGACACAGGAGAGAGAGAGAGAGGAAGAAGGCAAGTTTCATACAAGGAGCACCGTCACCAACACCGGTATTGTAGCAACAATAAAAAGCCCAATGACAACTGACACACACACACTCACACACATTCACTCACTCAACTCACTCACACACACTCACTCACACAACGACAAGAAATCAGGAGGCAGTTTTTCCACCCAAAGGCTCGCGGAAATCTGTCTCTCTCTCCCTCCCCCCAAAAGGCTGTGGATTATGGCTGGATCCATTTACATTGTCCAGGGTAATTGGTCTTGAGGTACAGATCAGCCATGATCTTACAGAATGTGGAACAGGCTCGAGGAGCTAAATGGCCTCCTCCGGTTACTATGTTTACAAGTTATGAGCGGTTCTAGCAGTAGTGGTAAAACTGGCTTTAAAGTTTCGTGGGTGGGTGACAGGAAGACCCAAACTATCAGTGTCCAATCCACGGTTTTAATTAAATTATCACAGCTGTTAAACACTCCATCTCCCTCTCTCCGTGTAGTACTGTGAAGTGGACCCTTAACACAGAGAGCTGTGAGCAGCACCTGGTCACAATGAGAGCATCTCTAACCACAATGTTAGCCGAGAGAGAAGCACAAACTGACTCTCTACCAACTCCAAACAAACAGATAACAATCACAATTCCTTTCCCCACCACCACACACACAACACTCACCCACACCACACACATCCCCCCAGCCCCCACACCCACCTCACAATCCCCCCTCTCCCCACCCACACACACACACAACAACATCTCGTGGTTTAGAAATTCTGAAGGAGATGCAGCTTTTAAGAAAAGAAGAAAATCAGGTTAATGGGTTAAACGTGTCCGTCCACCGGTGCAGATCAACTCTCTTAAAAACTGAAGAAAAAATACTGCAGGTGCTGGAAATCTGAAATAAAAACAGACGTGGCTGGAACACTCAGCAGGTCAACTATTGCAGCAACTATTGAGAGAGAGAGGAAAGTGGGTTAACATTTCAGTCACAACTCCATCAGACATGTTGCACACGCGCACACACACACACACTCATTACCTTCTCAAGGGTTTCAATCCGCTGTTTCAGGAGGCGATTTTCTGTCCGCAGCCTCTGTTAAACAATAGAGTATTCGGGTTATTCATAATATCTGGAACCCACTAGTGCCTCGCTCTGCTCGGTGCAGGATAACTTCAAGCCAGAATCGCAAACTTTGATGAAAGACAGAGACTGCAATGTGCATTGAACGGGTGGTAGATGTTTGTTAAGTAGACGTTAAAGTAACACGTGAAGTACATTCACCTGTATTATGTGTGTACGTCAGGTGTTTTCTACTAACAATCCACGGCTGTTTGTGGGGACGCTGCTGTGCGCAATTGGCTGCCGTGTTTCACTCACAAAACACACAGTCAATTCACTTTACAGTGTATCCTGTGAAGCGCTTTGAGACGTCTGGAAGACGTGATCAGGCGCTGTATCAAATGCCGGGATTATTATTATTTAACATCAGTGCAGGGGCTATAACAGGGTTTGGCCAATAGCCACCTGTGGCTCGTCAGCAATGTATTTCTGTTGGACAGCACCGATCTCAGTAAGTCTCACGTCCAAACCGTACGTTAGTTAAACTCAGTGGCAGGACATTGGTGGACGAGCGCGGAGAGCAGCATCGCCCTCTGGTGGAGAGATTACGCGGTGCAATCTGTCTGATCTGAGCTTCACTCGTTGGATTCCGGATAACAAACAGTTGATTTGCAAACATTACCTTAATTTCAATCTGTTCCTCCATTTCCTTGTTCTTGATTGTAGTGTATTCCTTTTCAAGCCTGTGGGACGCAATCAGAGTTTGGATCACACGAGGCGTTCTCGAGCAGCGAGTCAGCAAACTGAGCTGAGAACTTCTAAACTAAGCACATCCCAATACAACAACCATTTGCATTGATATGCAGTTCCCCTTCAGCGCCCAGGAGATCTCACAGGGAGGAGGGAGCGAGGGTCCAGGTAGGTTGGCGGTGACAGGAGCCGAGTGGGAGAGGAGAACGGTGGTCTGATTTACATTTAACTGAAGAAAATTAGGGGTTATCCAGGACCTGATGTCTGACAGGCAATCAGTCAGAACGGTGCCAGCCTCGGTTAATAATAAATATATGAACACGGTTTATTTTATATTGAAGACATTGTATCTGAGCCAACTGGGTGCCTCTCACCATCAGCCCAAATTACTATAATAAACCACGGCTTTGATAAAGAGCGTCTATAATCCCGAGCACTTCACAGTAATTACTGTTAATTGTTAACTGGCAACTCTGCGTACGTTTGTAGGCAAACACAGGAGCCAATTAGCACCACAACAATGGCCCACAAATAGTCACCAAGTGAACGAACAATTCTGGAGGATTCTTAAGAGCGTAAGAATTTGCCGGCGAAAGAAGACCAAAGTTCATCCAGTTCGCCTTCCACCCTCCTGGCAGTCGCTTGACCTGCCATGTTCCAAACCATACCCTGTATATTGTTGACCAGGTTATGGGGAGAAATTGCTTTCACTTTTCGAATACTGTCAAAGGTTCTTTCATTCTTTTCAAGAAGCTAAACGGGGCCTTGGTTAAACACTCAGCTGAAACACAGCACCACCGACAATGTGCTGCTTCCTTGATATACATAGAGTCCCTGACCTTGAACTCACAGCCTTCTGACCCAACGCTGATTGATTGAGTTGACTGGAGACTCAAAGAACGATGGGATAACTGATCACAAATGAATACTGGGTGCCTGAAACTGCCAAAGAACATCACCTAATCCCAACACTAACTCTTTCCCAATTCAGATGTTGGAAGTTCCCATCATCAGCGCTGGTCCATGAAGTAGTGTCCACACAAGCTCTCCCAACCTCAGAGAGAATAGGCTTCGCCTGTGTGACATTGCTCAATATTTCAGTGTTTAATCACACATAGGCTCCGGCCTACTCCACATCCCCTTCCTCCCCCACCCATCATTGGCGGCCAGGCCTTCAACCTCTCTGCCCCACCCTCTGGAACTCCATCCCACATTCCCTTCGCCTCACACACTGCCTTGCCTCCTTCCTCTTCTACTGCACATTTGGTCACCTTCCTACACCCACCCTCCCTGCCCTCCCTGACCCCAACTCCCGCTCGGGTCCAAATCCCTGACTGTCCATCCAGCACCTTGGACATCCTCCTGACGTGAAAGGCAGAAGCTGTGTCAATGTAATGCGTTGTTGTTGTTGCTCAGTTACCTTGACAGCTCCTCACGAATATATGGGCAGGCAGGCCGATATCAGCCACGTTACGTTACCCACACCCCAGGCGGCCTGACTGACCCCCATTCTCCGGCCAGCATGTGGCCTGGTGTCAGACACAGCGGACACGACTGTGAGCTGACCACATCTTTTGTCCAGTAAGAATGAATGAGACAGTATTCCCGCACGGTTTAGAAACTCGCAGCTTTTTATTCATTATTAAACTCTGTGCCAGTTTTGTTCAGGATATCAATAAACCATTAATAAATAAATAAAATTAAAACATTCAGCTCCGATTTGTTTTTTTGGGGACTGAAAAGATGTGACTGAGTAACCCTTAACTTGAGAGGGCAGTCACAGTAAGGGCACTGTTAAGATTTCTTCATCTAAAAGAAGCCCCTTCATAACGTTCTGTAGGAGCTACACAAACCACAGACAAGGACAAAGGGATACCAGGAGCAGTCAATCCATTCCCAGGATCTGCCAACAATAAAGGCTTTTCACCATCTACGTAACATCTGCAACTTTGAAATCATTCAGACTTGTAACCGAAGCAGTAAATCTACTGTCCATTGTAAATGCTTCCACACAGTTAGTATTCTACACCAGCCCACTCACTGCTGGCACACGTGGGAATGGAATAAGGCTTCTATTTTGCGCTCCGCTACCCAACAACCCAAACCCAACTCCAACAACCGTGTGTGAATGAGTAATAATAATCCTGGCGTTTTGATACAGCGCCTCAACAGGTCTTTGAGACGTCTCAAGGCGCTTCACAGGATACACTGTAAAGAGTTGTGACTGTATATTTTGTGGGCGAAACGCGGCAGCCAATTGCGCACAACAGCGTCCCCACACACAGTCGTGGATTGAGTGACCAAATCACTGTATTATTATTTACCAGAAAGGGCTGTGAAAGAGAATCTACCCCATCATGGAGCAAAGCACGGACAATAAGAAATGGCTTTCACTTAATGCAACCTCCTGGAAGTGTCACCTGCTCCTTTATCTCCTGTGTACAGGACTTGAAGCATAAAACCAGCCTCCCTTTGATCTTCATGTTCAATTTCTCTGGGTTTATTGACCTGCCAGCGTGCAGCAGTAAGTAATCAGTGAACTAAGCTACTGTTCAGCTGCACAGTGTGTTAAGCCATAATTGGACATTCTGGTGTAATGGGAAGAATTTGCTGGGAATGACTGGCCAGCAAGAGTGGCTGTACATGGTACTGGTCCTCTGGACTCCTGTAGCTCAGTGGTTAGAGCACTCGCCTCGCAGCAAGAGACCTGGATTCAATACCCGTCAGGCGACATGTTGGGCAAGTTTCCTTACTCCACACACATGCCTTATTATTATTATTATTATATTATGGTACTCACTTCCTCATTCTCTTCGGGTTGTACTTGACCTGATAAGCTCTCAGGATCAGTTTGTCAGGACAGCTGTCAAATTGCTGCGGGATCACCTTCTGAAAGTGCTGTAAAAGGGAGAGACGCACAAAAAAGACATCAAAGTCACTTTCCTCTTGCAGTCTGGAATGCAGACAACACGCAAGTGTCCATAGGGACTTTTCAAACTAAATAGGGCTTTAATGATCTGAAAATAAATCACAGCCTCGCTTGAGATAAACTATTATGACGGGGATCAGGAGAAAAGCTGTTCAAGAAGTAGATATTAGAATCATAGAATATTACAGTACAGAAGGCCATTCGGCCCATCGTATCTGTGCTGCTTTTTGAAAAGAGCTTCCAAATCAACCCCACTCCCCCGCTCTCTCCCCATAGCTCTGATCAACCCCACTCCCCCGCTCTCTCCCCATAGCTCTGATCAACCCCACTCCCCCGCTCTCTCCCCATAGCCCTGATCAACCCCACTCCCCCGCTCTCTCCTCATCGCCCTGGAATCTTGTCCTCCCCAAATAATTATCTACTTATCTCTTAAAAGTTGTTATCGAATCGGCTTCTACCAGACTTTCAGGCGATGTATTCCAGAGCTTTAGCCCAGGGAGGGTTAAGGACGTTTCAAGGCTGCAATAATCTCACGGGCTAATTTGCATTTATATAGCGTTCTTCACATCAAATCAAAGTCTGAGGATTTTACAAAATATAATTGACGGGTGCCGAAATTTAATGTTCCAAGAACACCCCAGAGATGAGCAAACCGTGGTGATCAACATGATGGAAGCCCTCCGTGTCTCTGCCATGTTAGTAACAGATCTGGTGACGTCATCTAGAATCTAAGCGAGACTGTCAGGCCAGTCTTTGATCGTGCATAAGGTCACCTGCCCCCTCCCTCTTACATCCTGGCTCGGCTTCAGACTCCGCTAGTGTCAAGCTCTCCGGGACACTGCCCCGCGTGAAGGATGCTGTATAAATGCAAGTTGTTGTTGTTGTTGACGCTTTGTAAATGCAAGTTGTTGTTGCAGGCAACAAAGTCAAACACAAAATTGATTTAAAAACTCAACACAAGGAAAAAGTCTTATCAAAAATTTAAAACCTGCATCTTGGCTGACAGCCAGGGCTACACCAAGGTACAAAACTGATTCATCTGTGTTTAAGAAAACGTGTTCCTTAAATTCAGATCTTTCCACTTAAAACACATCAATTTCCTCTCTCCATAGACGCTGCCTGACCTGCTGAGTGTTCCCAGCGACCTCTGTTTTTATTACAGGTCAAGGGAAAGTGACCTGAGAGGCTGAGGTCTCTGTGTAACTTGCTATGGAGTGACCCACTGACTGAGTTTGTTTTCAAGAGCATTTTTTTCCACTGCCAAAATCTGACATGTAACTTTGAGGGAATGAACAGGAGACACAGGAACGAACTTCCATTCAAGGTCTCCTGAATAGTTATCAGTGCAGATAGACCAGATCTCGAGAATAGATTTGAGTTTCATTCTATAAAGAATTTTGCTGAGTAGGACATTAAGAATTAATCACATCTGCAAAAACAGCTCCTATCCCTTTCCTCAATACACTGGTGAACTAAAGCCATCGGGTCATTAATAATTGACACAGCGACAAATAACAGCTGCCACACTGTGTGCTGGTAACTCTGAGAGGGTTATTTTTACCTGAGACATTCCCTCCATGTCAAGTTGTACAAGTTCCGCTTGGTTGAACTGAAGAATAGAGATTCCGATACGAAATACAATTTCCAAACCCTGTCGACACGAAGAGAATTTTCAGGTGTTGGGTAATTCCAACATAGAGGAGATGCCGAGTAAATATGGGAACTGTGGAAACCGCTTGCCAATTGCGCACAGTAGTGGCACGCAAACACTTGACTGGAGTGTCAGGGTAGACTACATGAGGTCCAAGTCCCAACTTGGGGCATGAACCCATGACTCAGACGTTAGAGCGCTACCACTGAGGCCATTTGTGAAGTCCAGATGTCAATGAGTTGTTAGTGATCCCCACAGGGATTCCTGTCATTCCGAATCTTAGGAACTGGCGTACAGCAGGATCAAGAATTGACTGTTAACTGTTGGCAAATTGTAGAGTTCTGTAGTGTCGTGTAATGTGGTCACTCAATCCACGACTGTTTATGGGACGCTGCTGTGCGCAATTAGCTGCCGAATTCCACCCACAAAATATACAGTCACTTCACTTTGCAGTGCATCCTGTGAAGAGCTTTGAGACGTCTCGAAGACGTGATGAGGCGTTGTATTAAATGCCAGGATTATTATTATTATTTATTATTATATGGTCTGTGCTAATCAACATCACCCCCCATATCTTACCTCATACATAAATATGTCAACTATTCTCGTAGCGAGCGGCAGGGAAAAGGTGGTCAGAAAAATAGTCAGGAACCAGGAGGAGGCGTACATCGAGGTGTGGAAGCTCTGGGACCGAAAGTGCACATTCAGTTCAGGCAACTGTTCCTGAGAGAAAAAAGAAATACATCACTTGCAAATCACTAATTATCAGAGTGAGAGAATTGGCACAGCACAGCTGCAGCCACAAACCTGTCTGGTACACGACGAGAAAAATATATATCAATATAGCTCTTTATTTTAAAATGGCCTCATTACTACGGTAGTGCTGTCTCTCTCTCTGTCTCTCTCTCTCTGTCTCTGTCAGGGATGGATGCCAAAAAACAGCCCCAAGGAGATTTTTGCTCTTATGTTTTCCTGTTTCATAACCTACCTCCAAAAGGCTAAATCAAGTGCTGTGAGACACCACCCCGCATGGAGGGCGCTGTAAAGTGCAAACTGCTGCTGCTGTTGTTGTTGTAGCTGGCACCCTTGGGCAGAGATGATATGTGGATTGGTGTGATGTTTCTGGAGCCCTCTGTCTAGACTGTGCAGCGGGCTACAGAAATAGGCGATTGATTCCCATTTCACTCACGTCGATTTAGCCTTTTGAAAGCAGTTTATGAAACAGGAAAACATAAGAGCAAAAACCTCCTGGTGGAAGCTGTTTTTGGCATCCATCCCTGCGAGAGAGAAAGAGAGAGCAGAACTCTCTGCCTTGTTCAGGATCACATGCCTCTGCTCTTCCTGCTTTGCTAAACGAGAACCTTCTCCAGCTCAATCCTTCAGGGAATAAATGTCAACTTCCTTGCTAAGATCAACCTGCTGCAAAATTAATGGTGCTGGAGTTTTTTTTGAGACCAGAGCAGTCACTCCACACCCTCAATCTTTAATTATCCCCAACATCGTACAGAAAGCAAGACTTAATAGTTTTGCATCCGTCTACATAACAGGGTCCTTCCAGAGACAGTAACTGGAACAGCTGTATCTGCTGGGAAATAGTGGGAAACTGTTGGAGAAGGTATACAAGAGCACGTTCCAAAAGTCTCATCGTTTTATTATTGATCTGTATTGCCTTGAGTTTAGAAAGTTGAGGGGTGATCTGATTGAGGTGTTTGCAATAATAAAGGGATTCAATAGGGTAGCTACAGAGAAACTGTTTCCTCTGGTTGGGGGTGGGGGAATCCAGAACAGGGGCAGGGGGGCATCACCTTAAAATTAGAGCCAGGACATTTATAACAACAACAACAAAATTGCATTTATAGAACGCCTTTCACTTCGGGAGGACGTCCCAAGGCGCTGGACAGTCAGGGGTCAGGATTTAGGAGTGAAATCAGGAGGCAGTTTTTCCACACAAAGGCTCGCGAAAATCGGTCTCTCTCCCTCCCCCAAAAGGCCGTGGATTGTGGCTGGATCCATTCATATTATCCAGACTGAGGTATTTAGATGTTTGTGAGGTCAGGGGATCGAGGGATACGGGGCAAAGGCGGGTAAATGGAGTTGAGGCACAGATCAGCCATGATCTTATAGAATAGAATGGCGGAACAGGCTCGAGGGGAGAAGTTCCTTTATTATTTTAAAAATAGGCCATTTTGTTCCCTTCAGCAGGAGTCAGTCAGCCAGCCAGCCAGACAGACAGACAGACAGACAGAGAGACAGAGAGACAGACAGACAGATACCTGTATCAAGTATTCAAACTGGTAAATACAGAGTCCCAGCTCTGCCATGCTGGGTTTGAAGAGCTCCCTCAGTCTGTACTCCTGCATCAAACGGACAAACACAACAAAAAGGCCTCTTCCTCCGGCATCTGTGAAGTGGAAGAACAAGAATAATCGTAGCATTTGAAGACGTAACTCAATGCTAAGGATCTAAGAAACCGCCTCGATAGAGAACTACAGGCCCTTTCATTTAAATTAAAACACACTCAGGCAAGTTAAAAATGATTGAATGGTCTTTTAAAATGGATCTCATATAATGCATTGAAAAGAAAAAAAAGACAAGAACAAACATCCAATTCCCCTCATCTAATTTATCCTTTCTCGAGCCATAAATAATTGCTGAGTTGCTTCCAAACCCATCAATATCTGAACGTTCCCTTTCCTCCCCCTTTGCGCTCTGTGCTGTTTTATTTTTTTAACAAAAACGAGAATGCCTACACTTATCCAGACTCGGCTGCCAACCTTGTCCAAGTCTCACCCCCCACCCCCCCCCACTCCAAACCCCTGGTACATCAGTCTTCTCCGCTCCACCACTGGTGGCTGTGCCTTCAGCCACTTCACTACACCCCAAAACTCTGTCTCTCTCTCCCTCAATCCCTCCGCCTCGCCCCCTCCCTCCCCACCATAAGACCTTCCTTTTTGATTGTGCTTACGGCCATCTCCCCACCCCCTCTCTCCCCCCTGGCTTGGGGTCAGACTCCGCCACTGTCAAGCGCTGTTGTTGTTGTGGTGGTCACAGTGAGATGGATAGTTCTGATGCTGATGGATTGCTGAAGACTGACCTGCATCAGTAGGAGCCCCACAATAAAAGCACTGCCTTGGCAATATCCCACTTCACGATCAACCAGAGAGTAGGCCTGCAAAACAGTCAGTGAGAATAAAACAATCCTTACACCTCGTAAAGCTCCTTTCTTGCTAGGACCGAGTCTCAAATCTCTGCACAGCAACGTCCCACAAACAGCCTTGAAGTGAATGACCAATTTTATTTATCATAATAATAGTCCTGGCATTTGGTACAGCGCTTTATCACTCCTTTGAGACCTCTCAAAGCGCTTCACAGGATACACTATAAAGTGAATTGACTGTGTGTTTTGAGGGCAAAACGTGGCAACCAATTGCGCACAGTGGAGTCCCACAAACAGTTGTGGATTGAATCGACCAATTTATTATTATTATTATTTTTTTGATGGAATTATTGGAGGCATTATTGGCCAAAACACCAGGGAGAAACAACATTCTCTTTCCAAACAGGTTGTGTCTCATCTGAAGTACAGCACCTGCAACATCTAGCACTGCAGTTTTGTGAAGTGCTTTAATATTTCTTTCCTGATGTGAAAGGCACTAAATAAATGTAATGTGCCGCTGTTGCTCACAGGACATCAATGGCATATTGTAAGTACACATTTCAGTCACTTACCTTCATGACGTTAAATAAGACCTCCTGTCCTAGGCTGTCCTGTCCTTTAAAGAAATCGTGCTCAGGGTAAGTGCGTGCAATGTCCCTCCGGATCAGCTTCTCACACGGAGAAGTCATCTTCAGCAGCTCTGAGTACTGATTCTTCACTGGCAGGTCTGTAGCATTGCATAGCAACTGCCAGACAATTCCCCGGAAATGATGTGGGATTCCTTTCCGAATGAGCTCCTGAAAAGAGGATAAATGTATCTTCATTTTATAATAATAATAATCCTTGCATTTGATACAGCACCTTATCACGTCTTCGTGACATCTCAAAGCGCTTCACGGGATACGCTGTAAAGTGTAGTGACTGTATAGGCAAACCCAGTAGCCATTTGCAGACGACCACGTCCTACAAACAGCCATGAAGTGATTGACCAATTTGATTTGGACAATTGATCCGTTCGATTCTCCATCCTTCTCCTCTATTCTCCATCCTTCTCTTCAACCGAGCCTTCAGCTCCCCTCTCGACTCTCTAACCCCTCCTCGCTCCCTCCCTTCCCTCCCCTCACCCTGACCAGTTCCCCCCTGCTTGGGTCCCGACCCAACTGTCCAGCGCCTTGGGACGTCCTCCCGACGTGAAAGGCGCTCTATAAATGCAATCTTGTTGTTGTTGTATTCCTTCAATCTACTCCTACCCCACTACACTGCTTGCCCCATGCCTCTGGAATTGCCTCTTCTCAGGATACACTGTAAAGTGTAGTGACTGTGTGTTTTGTGGGCGAAACCCGACAGCCAACTGCGCACAGCAGCGTCCCATAAACAGTCATGGATTGAGTGACCAAATTATTATTATTTAATTTATTTTGAAGGGATTATTAACCCCGGAAAAGCGATCCACCAATTGGCTAACAACCGGGTTCCTACTTACTGTTGGGTAAACAGAGGCGTGTGTGTGTGTGTGGAGTAAGGAAACTTGTTCAAGGTATTGCCTGCCAAGGAATCGAACCCAGTTCCTCTCGCTTGCGAGGCAATTGCTCTAACCACTGAGCTACAGGACATATAAATGCAAGTTGTTGTTGTTGTTGAACTGCCCCCATTTTGAGAATGATGGGACGATATCTTGTTTTGTCTCACCCGCAGCAGTTTCTCTTTCTTTTTACGCACTTCCTCCCATTCGTTGATCAGCCTTCCCCATAGGATCCACGTGTCCTCTTCTAACTGGCTTAGGTTACTTGAAGCCGAGGAGCTGGACACCAGTGAGGATCCGCTGTTCCTCCGGGAACCATTCACAGACCGCAGCAGTTTGCTGTCAGCCTCTAGCAACCTACATGTTAAAGAGAAGCTGTTGAATATTGCGTTTCACACGTGTGATGCCATGTGTTAATTGAAAAACCTTCACTTCACTCAACAGTTATTTTCTTGCAAAAGAGCTTGCATTTTAAAAATCACACGTTACCAGGTGGAAAGCACTTTTACATGAATTACTCTCAAGTGCAGTGAATATTTTTGTCTTCAAATGCGGCAAAATAAGATCACAAGCGGTCATGAGGTGAACAATTAACTGTGGGGTCGGTTATAATAATAAATTATTTAATAATCCCGTAGATAAAATTGATCATTCACTTCATGGCTGTTTGTGGGACACTGCTGTGCGCAAATTAGTTGCAGCGTTTTCCTACTAATACATATTCGTTACACTTTACAGTGAATTCTGTGAAGTGTTTCAAGATGTCTGGATAAAGAGATAAAGTGATATAAGAAATGGAAGGATTTATAACAATCCCTACATTATGCAATGAAACATTACTTGACTTCTGTCACCAGAGGCCTCCAGTGAGCTGTGCATATATATATATACACACACACACCCACAACACACACACATCACACCCACAACACCCACATCACACACTCACACACAAACACATCACACACCCACACACATACACACCATACACCCACACACATACACACACAACACTCACAAATCACACCCACCCACCCACCCACACATCACACACAACACAGACAACCACACCCACCTACACATCACACCCACCCACACACAACACAAACACCAACCCACACACACAACCCCAACACCCCCACTCAGTTGATAGAGCGTTTCCTTATTAATCCATTGTCAGCTGTACTGTCCTTTGAATGAAACATTTGAGTGAGTTGCAGAGTTCTGAATAATCTGCAGAGATTATTGTTGATATTATTGTTAATATTATTGTGCAGAGAGAGAGAAAGAGAGAAAAAGAGAAGCAACACAGAAAGCAGTGAGCGGGGTAAGCTATAATAAAGCAGTTTTCTTGTGTTGTGTAGTCCTGTAGCTCATTGGTCAGAGCACTCTCCTCGCAAGCGAGAGGACCTGGGTTCGATTCCTGGCCGGGTAGGGTGAAATGTTGGGCCAGTTTGCTTAATCCACACCCCTCTTTTTACCGGCAGTAAGTAGGAACCCGGTCGTTAGTCGATTGGCGGATTGCTTTTCCGGAGGTAATAATCCATTCAAAACAATAAATTAAAAAATAATAATAATCTGGTCACTCAATCCACGACTGTTTGTGCGACGCTGCCGTGCGCAATTGGTTGCCTCCTTTTGCCCCAAAAATTCACTTTACAGTATATCCTGTGAGACGTCTCGAAGACGTGATAAGACGCTGTATCAAATGCAAGCATTATTATTATTATTACTTATTATTTGTGCCTTCACCTGTTCTGCTCCTCGAGCTTTGCCAGAAGCTCTAGTTCATCAGCACTGAGGTTATCAGAAGAGGAGGAGTTGGGGCTGACTGCAGGACTGGCCATGGGGCTGACTGCAGGGCTGGCCATGGGGCTGTGGTCTGGAAGGCTCTTCATCCATCAGAAGGAAAAGCACTGCACTGCCGGAGAGCGTTTATATTATCTACGAGATAAAAGAGGAAAGAAGAGAAAGTTAAAACTGATACATAATCCTTGCATTTGATATAGCGCCTGATCAAGGCATCAGGATTTCCTAAAGTCCTTCACAGAAGTTGCTGTAAAGTGCAGTGGATGGATTGCGAGGTGATTGCAGTAATCAATTTTTAACTTCTACTTGCTCGGTTGCTTCACTCGCCTTCCTGTACTTTCTTCTAACTTTCTGAAAGTTATCTCGATTACTTCTGGTCGGTTATCCATAGAAAGAGATTTCTCATTCCAGGTGGTTACTGTCTTATCGGTCTGTTCAGACCTAGCCACTGAAACCTGCAAGTAACACTCCTCGACCGTTGTCAGGGTGTTTCTGACAAGTGTTCAGGATTATTCGACAAAACAAGCAATCTGGTGATTCAATCAGTGATTCAAGAAAGATGGTTGATAATTGATAAGTAGAAATATTAAAGAATGTGGTGAGGAGGCATTAGGGGAGATCAGTGTATGTGGGCTATGAATGGTCTGTACATTCCTCCCCAAACCCACCTTATAACCTTTCTGGGACCCAAATGACAATAAATGGGAAAAATACCTCCCTGTATTACACATTTGTTTGTTCATTCAAAAACAAACGGAAGCTGTTATTTCCACCCTGTACTTTTCTTTTGGTTTCATGCTCGTCTGTCTCAACATTAAAAACAAAAGTGTTCTCTTTAAATGCTCCATTTTGTTTGGAAAATTCTGTAATTTGCCAACAATAATTTGGCACAAATCTACCTTAAATGTCAAGCTCTCAAGATGAAGAATTTAAACGGAACCATTTTACCCATAATCTTCAAACCAGCTGATCAGTAACAACCACACATGACACTGACACAGCGCCTTTCACGTAGGGAGGACATCCCAAGGTGCTGGACAGTCAGGGATTTGGACCCGAGATGGGGGTTGGGATCGGGGGGGTGTGGAGGGCAGGGAGGGTAGAGGGAGGCAGGTGACCGAAGGCGCGGTTGAAGAGGAGGGTCTTGAGACGGGCCTTGAAGGAGGCAAGAGAGGGAACGAGGTGAAGGGAATGTGGGATGGAGAGGCTGAAGGTCTGACCTCTGAGTCTCTTTGCTGAAGTGAATCCTTATTCACTTAACAAAAGGCCGTTATTAAGGTATTACTCAGATTTTGCCTGTGATTTATCTCTAACAGTACGTGTATTGTAGTCTGTGCTCGCTGTACACAAACTCTTCAGGGCCAGATGGATATCTAAAAGCACTGTTGGTAACTGAGGATATTGTAGGCTAGGAAACGATTACAGTTGTTTTGTTTGTGTAAATTAATAAATAAAGAATTTGAACGGCCAAAGTTGCCAATGGATGAATACTCTGCGGCCAGCCTAAATGTTGTAACTCTCCTTCAGAATATGAAAACCACCTTAAATACTGAGCAATGGCATGCTAATAAAAATAACGTTAATAATTTGATCACTTGGTGCACGACTGTTGTGGGACACCGCTGGGCACGGTTGGCTGCGGCGTATCGCCCACAAAATATAAAGCCACTACACTTTTACAGTATATTCTGTGAAGCGTTTTGAGACGTCTCGAAGACACGATAAGGCGGTGAGTCAAATGGGTTTATTATTCATTATTAAGCTATTACCTGGTTCAGAAATGGGGGTTTTGATGGCACAGCTGTTTATAGAGATCTTTAATGTCAACTTAAACAGGCAGACAGCTCCTCTGATAATATAACATATGCCCCAGCACTGCCCTGGTGTGTTAGGACTTGGCGTGCAAGTTCCAAGTCTTGACTTGGGGCTTGAACCCACAACCTGACTCCGAGACAAGTGTCACCAACTGAGCCAGGATGACACACCTTACACACCCGAAACAATTATAATAATAATAATCCTGGCATTTGATACAGCGCCTTATCACATCGTTGAGACGTCAAAGCGCTTCACAGGATACACTGTAAAGTGGAGTGACTGTGTATTTTGTGGGCGAAACGCAGCAGCTAATTCTACACAGCCTTATTAACTGTGTGGTTTTTGAACTCGTGCCAAGTATTTGGTCATTTCGGGCGGCGATGTTTACAGGATTACTAAAATAATCTCACACAACTGGAAAATACCCTCTGTGCACAAAGTATGAAGCTGAGTCAAGCCATTAAATCCAATGAAGTGTTTAGTTTATTGGCATAACAAGCTGCTGATGGTAGGGTAAGCATAAGGAGGCATTGTTTGTTTCAACATCAGTTTATGACATTGAATGGAAACTTCTTTCCTCTGTGGATTCCAAATGAGATAAATTGCACATTCAAGAGCAGTCCTATTCTAAGGAAATAAAACAGCGGTTGCATTCAACAACCATACTGCAATGATTAAATGGAGGTCAAGTTCATCTAAATTTGTTTGTGAGACATTGCTATGCTGCCGTGTTTCTCCCACAAAATATACAGTCACTACACTTTACATTATTCTGTGAAGCGCTTTGAGACGTCTCGAAGACATGATAAGACGCTATATCAAATGCAAGGATAATTATTATTATTATTATTAGGGATCGCTTTATCTGTTGTCTTTGGGATCTGAATACTCTGGATCTCCTCTGTGCCTTCTTTTCTCTAGTATGAATATTCTTGCTCGCTGTGGCCTCTCCTCATAACTCGGGTGAAGAATTTCAACCAAATTGTCTTTGCTCCCTTCCCAAAGTGAACATGGCGGTTCTGTAACAGAGCGACCAGATTTGTGCACAATCCTAACAGGCAGTGGACAGAGCCACGCTCTTTATCACACAAGTGAAGTGTCAATCCTATGGTACATGGTCGAACCCTTTAGCTGTGCAACCCCAGATCTTGTTTGCTCCACTTTCTGCCACTCAGGCTGTGCTGATGGTTTTGTTAATCTATTCAATTGTGTTGTTCCCTATAGATGATTGCCGTTTAACTCGATTTCACAATTATGTTCTGAGGAGTCGATAGGAAGATGGACAAAGGCACTATAGTTCAGTCCCAATGTAGTGTTTTGTGGTTTGTATTGGAACTAACTGGATATGTGTGGGCTTTAATCGCTTGCCCCTGACTAATGCTCTTGATTTCATACACTCCATTCCAATGCCATTCCTCTCCTCCGCACCCGATTTAAACCCGAGTATATCCTTGAGCCTTACAAATGGATCGAACCGCCATCTATAGCCCTGCCACAAACAGCCTGTATCATTGAACACTTCTCGGAGCAAATAGAATTAAAGGAATTTAGCTGGCTGTGACCTTAAACATCTTTATTCACCCTGAGGAAGATCGAATACATTAAGATTGTCACACCAAGGGCCTTCAGTCTGTGCTGGTACATTGTTCTGTAAGATATGTTCACATAGAGACATTTAAATGAAAGGCTTGTGTCGCAAACCAGACCCATGTTTCCCACATTCCTGCCAGGTGAGTATGTGCATACACCACATCCAGTCTTTATACAGACACCCAGAGACTCTCAGATGCCTGCTCACACTGCCGGTCAGCCATCCGTTCCATTTCAGTCAATTACATGCACAGGCAGAGAAAAAACAGTTGGATAGAGACTGCAAACAGAAAATGATGCTAACAGTATTTAACAGCGCAATTTCCCATACTCTTATGCTCGTCTGGATCAGAGTCAAACACAGCTACAAAAAGATGCACAGAATATTTCACAATCCCACACACTTTGACCATTTAACCAGTACATTCAGTTGTAAATTAAAATACATTTTTCAACCCTTTTGATAATCTGTGCTGAGGCATTCAGGCAGGTGGGGCACTGGTAGCCAGATGCTGAGCATCTCCCCTCTCTTTGCAGACACCTGCACTCTGCACTCTCTCTCTCTCTCGCTCTCTCTCGCGCTCTAGCCAAACAAAGGACTGGCTAATCAAGAGGAATCCATGAACCGAGTGAGTGGGTAGAGCCAAGAGGTTTTCCAGATCAATTGACAATATTGATAGTATGGCGATGTAATCTGCCCAAACAGAGAACAATAGGAGTATCAGTGAGTGACAATATTTCCTCTGTGGGCGAGGCAGGTTTCTCAGACTCAGCACCTATTTTCTCACGCTGCTGAAATTCCGTCACAGCATCACAATTCACTGCTCAGACTTATTCCTACTTACTTACGCCAACCTGCTCCCCTGCCACCTAAAAGGGCCAGATTTCCCAACCCCCACCCCTGACCTACAACCACCCACCATATACATAAACCCTGAAATGTTCGCACAACGTTCAGTCAACAGGAAACACCCCAACTAAAATTAATACAATCCAGTCGCGTAACAACAAAAAATGCACCTTGTTAAAAAATCTCTCTACACGCTGACGCTATCATTTCCACCACAAATATGGTTTTCCCCCTCCCCCATCTGTTTAGCGGGTATAAAAATGCTCGCCCGAAACGTTTTCTCGCTTTTTCTCTCTCTCTCTCGGATCAATTGTTTCACTTTCACCAAATGGAGTCTCAGCATTGATAGTATATACATAACAGGTAAGAAAAAAAAACCATTGAATACTAATAATTCGGTCACTTCAATCCACGACTGTTTGTGGAACATCGCTCTGCGGAATTGGCTGCCGCGTTTCGCCCGAAACAATACACAGCCAATTCACTGTACGGCGTGTCCTGTCAAGCGCTTTGAGACGCCTCGAAGACCTGATAAGGCCCTATATCAAGCACAAGGTTTATTATTATTATTAATAAGAACAGACAGATCCTGCTCGCATTACTTTATAAGAACCCAGAATTCTTCCACGATTGTTTTTGACCAGAATGACAAGACACTGAATTCCAAAACACCCCCAAAAACAAGCCACAGAAAAGTATGTGTAATGCTAATAAGAATCATTTGCATAAATATGTATTACCCACCGGTAACATTTACATGTGCACAGGGAGTCAAATCAATAAGAGTAAAATCAAATCTAGGGACAGTATCAGGAGAGTCAGCATCTCACCTCAGCCCACACACTGACCCACATACTGACCCACACACTGACCCACATACTGACCCGCACACTGGCTCACACACTTGTCGACAACAATAACAACAACAACTTGCATTTATATAGCGCCCCTCACGCAGGGTAGTGTCCCAGAGCGCTTACACACACCCACACACTGACCCCCACACACTGAATCCCCACACTAACACACACACAGACAGACTCACACACACACTGATTGATACGCAGACAGACACACACACACACACTGACAGACACAGACAGACACACACACACACTGACAGACACTCACTGACAGACACACTGACAGACACACACACACACTGACACACACACACTGACACACATACACACACTGACAGACACACACTGACACACACACACACTGACACACACACACACACTGACACACACACACACACTGGCACACACACACTGACACACATACACACACACACTGACACACACTGACACACTGACAGACCCACACACACTGACACACACACTGACACACACACACAACTGACACACACACACACACTGACACACACTGACACACACACACTGACACACTGACTGACACACACACACTGACACACGCACTGACACACTCACTGACAGACCCACACTCACTGACACACACTGACACCGACACACAGACAGATACCCAAACACAGACCCCCCGCACCCCAGAGCCCGGCACCGCCTCACTCTGCCCCGTGCGGCCTGTGGGGGTCGGGGGGGTCTGCGGGCGGGGGGTCGGGGCTGAGGCCTACCCCGTTGCCAGGCGCACCCGGTCCATAGCAACGGCCGCCGCGATCGCTCCTCACCTGCCGCCGCCGCCTCCGCCATTCCTGTCCCGGTCCCGCGGGCCGCCGCCCACCCCAATGGCCGCTCCGCCAATCACCAGCCGCCGTCCCCTCGCCTGACTGACAGGCCGCTCAGCCAATCAAAGTCACCGCCCACCTAAGTGGCCGTTCGACCAATCACCAGCCGCCGCCCCTCTGCTGATTGACAGGCCGCACCGCCAATCACCAGTCGCCGCCCACTCCAACGGCCGTTCCGCTAATCACCGACCAGCCGATGCCGACACCTGCCTTACCCTCTGATTGACAGCCCGCTCCACCAGTCACCATCCACCGCCCCCACTGCTGATTGACAGGCCGCTTCGCCAATCACTAATCGCCGCCCAGCCCAAAGGCCGCTCCGCCAATCACCAGCCAGCCAATGCCAAAGCCCCGCCTTACCCTCTGATTGACAGCCCTCCGCCAATCACCGGAGCGTTTCCTCGAACCAATCGGAACACCAGCAGAGCGCCTGTCCATCACAAGGGAGGGGCTTGCACCGGCAGCCAATCAGAGGTGGGTCAGCGCCCGGTGGGCGGTTCCTGCTGCTGCTCTCAATCCATCACAACCTGATTATTGTAATAATTATAATCAATAACAATAATAATCAATAATAACGATAATAGTAATAATAACAACAATAATAACAATGATAACAACAATAATAACAACAACAATAACAATGGTAACAACAATAACAAGAACACGAACAATAATAACAATAATAGTAATAATAATAACAATAACAACAATAATAATAAATTAATAACAATAATCATAACAATGTTGTTGGGGGGCAAACGCGGTAGCCAATGGCGCCCAGCGACGTCCCCACAAACAGTCAGTGATGAAGGGAATGATCAATTAATCTGGGAGAATCGTTGGCCAGTGTATTGGCAGATTCCTGCTAGTGTTGAGGGATTTGTAAAGTCCGCCTGAACAGGTTGATAACGTCCTGTTCAAAGGGCAGGAGGTCTGACAATCCAGTGCTTCGCCAGCACTGACTGCACTGAAGCCTGAACCGTGAGCAAAAAGTGGCTTCAAACCACATCCTTCTGACCCAGAATTGAGAGTGCTACATACCTAGCCAAGCTGAGCACTGAGACCTGCGCTAATACTACTTGGGCAAAAAAGCCGCCAAAAGAAATCTGCACGCTGCTTGGCTCAAGAGAAGCCACCCGGTTTCCAGCTGGGACTTGTCGGAATCACATCACATTACGATAACGTTAATATTTGCCGAGAAAGTTCACTGTGGCTTTGAGTGGTGCGCGGCCTCCTGACCTGATTTTGTTGTTGTCTTTCAGTGCCTGCTTCCTGTCACATCAGAACCCGTCACTTTGTTGAGGTTTGACTGTGGTTCTGTTGGAGTTTCCATCTGAGAGCGAGAGAGTGAGAGAGAGAGAGAAAGAAAGAGGTCAGATCTACCCGAACCTCAATAAAGAATCACATACCATTGTGGTCCCGAGGAACAGCAGCATCCAAGACGATTTCTTCCACCAACCAACAACGGCAACTTGCACTTTGATTGTTGAGATCATCTCATTCATGTCACACAATACTAAGAACCTAAGAATAACACTCAGTGGGAGTATTCAGTCCCGTTTTCGCCATCCCATTAAAAGAAGGGGAAGTAGAGACTGTCTAAGCGGTAGCAGGGATGGGAGATTACTGTTTATATGGAGAGATTTGAAATCTTTTGGTTATATTGACTGACTTAAAAAGAAGAATTTTTCAATGCAGCCCTGAGGCTGTGATTTTATACTGTGATTCTCTCAGCCCTCTTCTGGGAGTTCAAGAGATGATTAGAAGATTCCTGGCTTTGGCGAGTGAGCAGGAGAATGGGTTGGAGCCAAGCTTCTGTGAAGACCTGATGGGCCCGGTGGACTGTCTCTGTACTACAACAGTGTATAATAATAATAATAAGCCTTGCATCTGTTTATACTGCCTTATCACGTCTTCGAGACGTCTCAAAGCTCTTCACAGAATATACTGTAAAGTGAATTGACTGTACATTTTGTGGGCAAAATGCGGCAGCCGATTGTGCACAGCAGTGTCCCATAAACAGTCGTGGAATGAGTGACCAAATTATTATTTATTTTGAAGGAATTATTACCCCCAGAAAAGCAATCTGTCCATCGACTAACATCCAGATTCCTACTTACTTCTAGATAATCAGAGGCGGATGCAGTAAGGAAACCAACGTTCCAGTCTCCCAGGAATTGAACCCAGGTCCTCTTGCTTGCGAGGCAAGTGCTCTAACCACTACATTACAGGACTACACATGTGACTGTACAGCTTCCTTTTTACCCTGTTGGATCTGACCAGCCTTTAGTAGACATGATACATGGCGGTGTTATTTGAGTGCATTCCAGAAACACAGAGCTGTTTGTTTTATGGACTTTAGTTACGAGTTGTTTTATTAAGGTAAAGAATAGTTTCACTGAGAAGATTACTAAGACCCTGGGCTCCCATTCATTTGGTTTCTTTATATTTGCAGTCCCATTCTGAAAGCTCAGTGGGGATGTAACTCCCGGCACTGAAGAAAGGAAAAGAAAACAGGAAATAAATAAAGAGGAAGGCAGGAAGTGCAGAGAAGGTGTGAATCATCACAGGGAGCAGGAGTTTCTGAGATCACAGTGAGAAGCTGAGTAACAGCACACCTCCAGCTTGTAGGATTATTATTATTATTGTAGAGGAACTTCAACATGTCTTGACGATATAAATGCAAATTGTTGTTATTAAGTTGTGTGTGTGGTCAGCCAGGCACAGGAGTAGCGCTCTCTCTCGCCTGTGAGTCAAGAGGTTTGTGGGTTCAAGCCCCGATGTTGGGATTGGAATCACACAGTCTAGGCTAACGCTCCAGTGCAGAGCGGGGGGAGCGCGGTGTTGTCAGAGGTGTCGTCCTTTGGATGAGATGTTAAACCGAGGTTCCCATCTGCCTGTTCCGGTGGACGTTAAAGATCCCGCGGCGCTGTTGGAAAAGAGAAGGGAGTTTCTCTCTCTCTCTCCCGGTGTCCTGGCCAACTATCCCCCAGATCTGAGAGTTGATCTGAGATCATGAGACAGTGAGGCCAAGAATGGAGATTGACGACAGAGCCCTCAAAAGGTGAGAGGTGATAGCTCCAGTGAGAGAGACATGAAGACAGGTGAATGAAGCAGGATAGGTGACCACCTATATTGCCAACATCGAAAAAGAGAAGGGAGTTAAAATCGGTTGCTCACTTCACACCTGTTAGTAGGACATTGCTGAGTGCAAATTGGTTCCGCATTTACCTACAAATACACAGTGACTGTACTTTCTTTACAATGCCTCCCGTGAAACGCTTTGAGATGTTCTCCCAATGTGAAAGGCGAACCAACAAATGCAAGGATTCTTCTAGCTCATCCTGATAGTAACTGACATGGTGCAGCATCTCCATCTGGTGATATTATACCAGCACTACAGCAGGAAAACACTATTCTCAAATGAATCAGTTCCCCATGTAATAACTTGCATTCGATCTAGCACCTTATCGCATCGTCGAGACATCTCCAAGCGCTTTACAGGATATACTGTAAAGTGGATTTACGGGGAGAGGGGGGATTGAGAGAAGAGCGAGAGTGGGGGAGAGTGACTGAGCGAGAGCGTGATTGAGAAAGAATCCGTGAGAGAGGAAGAGTGCACGTGAGAATCTGTGAGAGAGAGAAGGGAGAATGATTGAGACGGAGAACACGAGGGAGAGGTGGAGAGAAACAAAAAGAATGAGAGTGTGTGTGAGGGAGAGAGAGAGGGGGGGGTGGGTGGGAAACAAGGGTCTTTAGAAAGTGTTAAGTAAAATTGGTTTTAAATCTACTTCCCCTTTTGGGAGTTGAAATACATGATATTTTCTTGCAGATTCAAAGTGCTAATTGTCCTTGAATCCATTAAGAACCAGAGCATCTCTCACCCCTTGGTATTAGCAAAATCCTTCATTAGCTTTCAAGATTGAAATTCTTTTACTTATTACTTTAATAATTTGGTCACTCAGTCCACGACTGTTTGTGGGACGTCACTGTGCACGATTGGCTGCCGTGTTTCGCTCACAAAATATACAGTCAATTCACTTTACAGTATATTGTGTGAAGCGCTTTGAGACGTCTCGAAGACGGGATAAGGCGCTGTATCAAATGGAAGGATTATTATTATTATAGGCTTGAGACATTGACTCCAAGATCTATGATTTAGTTCACAATCATACAGCAGCAGCAAAAATGACCATATCTGACACATCACTGGGAATGTGAAGGAATTATGATTGTTGCACCTCTTGACAGACACACGAAGAAGGAAAACTGACAAACCTGTGCTTCAAAGTTCTGAATGTTAAAATTAATTGAATTCTGTAGTGAAGAAACTTTCCAATAATACACTTAGACTTGGAACTGCACTGTGATCCACAACCTAGTCTTTATGTGAAGAAATTATGGAAACTGACTTTCAAATTAAGACTGATTTAATAAGTTTCCAAAATCCAGCATGATATTATAATATACATATATAAATCATCAAGGCGCAATATCAAATGCAAGGGTTCTTATTATTATATTACATTTGAAAGCAATGTTCTTAAGGATAAAACCAAGAGAATTTCTGGCCTCTGATTTCTAAAATACTGCAGAACTTTCCAATTAAGTTAATAGTAACTATTATTAGCTATTAAATAGTAATTATTATTATTACTATATTATCTCTTCGGGTCGGTCTTGTGTCCAGTGTCCTGATGAATGGATGTTTTTCAATCAAAAATGTTATTATTTTAAAGTTTGTCTTAAGTTTGTTTCTATCTTAGTTACTCACATGTTCAGTGAAATGAGAGCATCACAGGCTGATATGAAGAACAAAGTCTTACAGCTGAAGAATAATGGTAGGTGTTTCATCATAAGCAGAGAGGTGAAGTCAACGGCAAACTCTAAAAGGAGATGTACGATAAAGTTGTACATCTATTAATCAACTATTAATATTACTATTATCCCTTCAGGTCCGTCTTGTGTCCTGTGCCCTGATGAATGGACGTTTTTCAATCAAAAATGTTATTATTTTTCATCAAACAATTTAAATTGGAAAGCAGCTCAGAGCAAATGTGTGTCTATGAAATCTAACCTTGTTGTCATTAAAACAAAGAAAGAGCAGGTAAGCCTTTCTGTTTATAATATTTCACTGGCCAAACAAATATAATTCACGTGAGGGTAACCATATAAATGTACAGAAGGACGTTTGAGATGTAAACAAAGAGCATCCCGAAAATGTATGTACGGTAAACATGTGCGCGTACGGTGCACATCGGGACACCATCCAGCAATTTCTTACAAGAAAGATAAACTCAAGAGCGCATTGGATTGGACTCACTGATGAGACAGCTGAAGGTGTCTGGCGCTGGGTGGATAACACAGATTTATCTTCTTCTGTGATGTGAGTTCCTTTCAATTAAGTTTAAATATATGATACAAAATAGCTTCCCTACTGCTGGGGAATGTCCACATAAATATGGCTTCCTTCAGCAGTTCAGCCTCAAATCATTATATTTATCTCTAGATTTATATGAGTTCAAACCTCACATCAGGACTTCCAGGACTTCCAAGTACCTATTCGATTCCCTTTTGAAAGTTGTTATTGAAACTGCTTCCACCACCCTTTCTGGTAGTGCATTCCAGACCGTAAAACAAATTCCCCTCTGGTTCTTGAAATGCAATGCACAATCTCTTCTTGAATGTAAGTACCCTGCCGACCTAACTGAGCAACAATCACAAATTTACAGAGCGCGCTACACATCAGGAGGACATCCCAATGTCCCCAGTTCCAGATAGTATTAGGCAAAGGTTGGTGACCAGACTACTGAGACCGCGACAGTGTTGACTTGATTCTGAATTTCATTGCCAAGCCAGCTCAGCCCCAAGGAGACTTGCCTCTCCCGTCACCAGGAATATAGTCATTAATCATTCTCCTGGTACCATGGCCAATGTTCCTCCAATATCCCAAAATTCTCAATAGAAACTCTGATTAGATTCAATACTTCAAGTCACTTTGAGTGTTGAAATGCGCCATGTGGAATGTAAGGAATCTCACACAGCTAATATTCTAGTCTTTTAATGGTTCATTATTTAGGTTCTGGAGTCCAGGAGAACCCAATCAAAAAGGAGAAGAAGATTGTGTCGAGTTGGACAGTAGAAATGGCAAATGGAATGATAACTCATGCAATAGCATTTTTTATTTTATCTGTGCACACCAGGCATCTCGCTGTTTTTAAAGATTTACTCATTGCCACAAATTTCATTTATAGAGCAACCTTAACATGGGGTAGAATCATTTTGTGCTTACCATTGAAAATAAAATAAAAGCTGTTTTATTAATTTCTGATCCTAACTGCACCACATGTTGCTGTAGCTTTGCTGAAATGTGGATGTAATCATCATGCCTTAAGTACCCACCTCAGCGCTATGTAAATGGAAATTCTTCTTGTTGTTGTGTTGTTCTGCCTGTTACAGCAGATAAAGAAATATTCTGGGGAATCCATGTGTTTCATATCAAGGATGTTTAATCAGTCCAGTGGATGCTTTGTACTTTTCATTTTCCCCCAATAATGTTTAGAATGAATCATGATTGAAATGATATATAAATGAACATTAACACTGAGTATCTGTGTCCAATTGTGTTGAGCTTCAGTGTGAAAGTGATTGCTGTCAATGGTAAGAGGTGCAATGGGCATACATCACACAACTCGCACATGAAACTGTGTGTTTCACTTCCCCTTCAGTCATTCTGGTTCCTTGAATGAGACCACTAATTCAGCGCTCAATTAAGGCTGATTTAATGCTGAATTAAGAGTAAATTATTTCTGTGAGTCACCAGAACCTGGGGAGAGTCAACCGAAAACGCAGGTAATAATAATATAATAATAATCCTTGCATTTGATATTTCTTCTAGATGTCTCAAAGAGCTTCACAGAGTACGCTGTTAGATTATGGAAGTCGTAGTATAAGAATAATGAACATTAAACAAATATAGAATGGAGAAAGTACTGACAGTCATGGGATAGAACACATCTGGCTTTCTCTGTTTTTGAGAGAACAAGACAGCTTTAATAATAATCCTTGCATTTGATATAGCGCTTTTCACGTCGGGAGAGGACGTCCCAAAGTGCTTCACAGAACACACTGTAAAGTGAATCGACTGTATATTTGTGGGCGAACGCGGCAGCCAATTGCGCACAGCAATGTCCCACAAACAGTCATAGATTGAAAATGACCAATTTATTATTTTTTTTTTTGGAGGGATTATTATTAGGCTCTGTGTGGAGTAAGGAAACTTGCCCAAGGTTTCGCCGGAATTGAACTCAGGTCTCTCACTTGCAAAGCGAGTGCTCTAACCACTGAGCTACAGGACTCCACACACGCTTTGGAAAAGGGCAGAGGGTCCCCTCTTATCAGTAAATAACAACAAGCCACAGAGGTAACGGTCCAAGGTACCGGTCAACGGAGGATCTCGATCTTAGCAATAGGTCGCTAGATTCTGACGGCTTGCCAAGCGACAGAAGGCAACCCTCAAGAATAGCAACTAATGAGCAAGTTGTTTAAACTGGAGGACCTCAGTACCATCCCGGGATACTAATAAGAAATAACCAGTCACTTAAAAGGAATGTACTAATGATTTCACATAACAAAATAACGAGCACCAGACACAGCCCTGAACTGATCAATCTCCTATCTTAGACAGAACAAAGGGAAGACCTCGTGGAGACTGAAGTCAGGCTGGCCCGAGCCAGAGGGTTAATTAACCTGAGTCCGTGACTGTATCAGAAGTGGGTCCCTGACCCGTATCTGACTTTTTGGTCACCTATATATCTATACAAATAGGCAGACAGAGAAAAAAATATGTACATAGACTGAAAGGCAGTGAGTTAAACATCCACAGGATAGACAAGCAGAGGGCAATATACACACACAAATTGAAAGACAATGAGAGAAATATATACACAACAAATTTTACTTGTATAGCCGCCTTCAGGTCAGAAAGACATCCCAAGGCGCTGGACAGTCGGGTGTTTTTGGACCCGAGCTGAGAGTTGGGGTCAGGAGGGGTGGAGGGGGGATGGGGGTGGGAGGATGGCTGAAGGCGCGGTCGAAAAGGAAAGTCCAGACGGGACTTGAAGGAGGCAAGAGAGGGGGCGAGGCGGAGGGATTGCGGGATAGAGATTCCAGAGTGTAGGGGCAGAGGTACTGAAAGGCCCATCGGGGGTGATTACACGCTGGGGATCTGTACACAGATAAACAGTCTGGAAAAACTTTTAAATTACACAATCTCCGTTTCAATTATCACTGACTTGAATAATATCTTGCAGCTTAAGTTGTTTGTTCAGTCAAGCATTAATGATACCACTAGGGGGAATCTTTCTGGTATAAAGACAATTTTCTTTTGATATTGCCCAGTCTGTAAACTGCAACCATTGACTACAGCAGGACGCCAATCGTTGTGTCAGAAGGAAATGACAATGCCAACGATTTATGAGATCGAAGCAATTTACTACCCTGTGCTTGCAATGGTTGGTGTTCCTGGTATGCAATTCCAATTTACTCTCAATTTTTATTGCTGTGTATCTGACACTAGATGTTTGATGCATTTGATTTCGGAATTTATTTCCTTTTTTCTGGTTTTCTTTATCCCCCCTTACATTTGGGATGCATTTACGTTTGAGTGTATGAGAGATAACTTTCCAGAGCAGCTGCCGAGGAACCAACTAGGGGACAGGCCATCCTAGACCTTGTTTTGTGTAACGAAACAGGGCTAGTCGGCAGTGTAGGTATTAAGACTCCTCGAGGGCAGAGTGATCACAATATGATTGAATTCTGCATTAAGTTAGAGAGGAATATAGTTAAATCCGAGGCAAGTATTCTGAATTTAAATAAGGCTAATTTTGCTGGTATGAGGAAAGATTTAGGTAAAATAGACTGGAGAATAAGATTAAGAGGTAAAAATGTAGACCAACAGTGGCAAATATTTAAGGATGTAGTGCATAATTCTTAGCGATTGCATATTCCCTTGCGGAATAAGAGTACTACAGGGAAAGCAAGTCATCCGTGGCTAACTGGAACAGTAGGGAAAGCATCAAATTCAAAGAAAAAGCTTATAAAACTGCCAAGAAAAGCAGCAAATCTGAAGATTGGGAGAGTTTTAGAAACCAGCAAAAAAAACCTAAAAAACTCATTAAGAGTGAGAAAAAGGAGTATGAGGGTGAGCTCGCTGGGAACACTAAGTGGGTACTTTGCATCTGTCTTCACCCGAGAAGACACAACCAGTCTGCCAACAATAGAGATGCACCAAAGGGATAAGGACAGGGAGAACTTAGGGAAATTTTCATTACTAAAGCATTGGTGCTAAGGAAACTGTTAGCACTAAAAAGTGACAGATCCCCTGGTCCGGATGGCTTGCATCCCAGCACATCACTGGAGGGTCAGCATTGACTGTGAAGCCCAAGCCCTCAATTTGAGGCTTTGATACACAATCTTTGGACTTGGAAACCAGAATGTGAATGATTAAGCCAAACTGACAATAGATGGCATCCTTGAACAAAAGGAAAAATACTGGAGGCTGGAATTCTGAAATAAAAACAGAAGTCGCTGGGAACACTCCGAACGTGAAACATTAACTCACTTTCCTCTCTGCATAGATGCTGCCTGACCTGCTGAGTGTGCGTTCCCTGCCACTTTAGATTGCATCCTATGGAGACCTGTCCTCAGTGGTTAGAGTACAGGACCTGGGTTCGATTCCCGGCAGGGTGAAACCTTGGGCAAGTTTCTTTACTCCACACGCCTGATAATAATTCCTCAAGAAAAAAAAATAATAAAAAATTGGTCACTTCAATCCATGACTGTTTGTGGGACACTGCTGTGCACAATTGGCTGCTGCGTTTCACCCACAAATATACAGTCAATTCACTTTACCGTATATTCTGTGAAGCGCTTTGAGACGTCTAGAAGACGTGAAAAGCGCTTAGTCTTTTTTTCTCTCTCTGTTAACAGTAAATTTTGTGGCGATCGTGATCCTGTCACGGAGGAAATGTGGTCTCTCTGAGGTTGTTACTCGTTACCTGGTGGCCATGGCAATGGCGGATCTGTTGGTGGTTTTGACTGATGTGGTGCTGAATCGCATCAACAACATGTATTTTCCGTTCAGCTTCATGTTCTACACGCCTGTCTGTGGCTTTCGAATCATCTTGCTGGCTGCGGCCATAGACGCCTCCGTCTGGTTAACAGTGATGTTTACGATTGATCGCTTTGTCTCCATTTGTTGCCCGGTGCTGAAGACCAGATACTGCAGCCAGAGAACAGCGTCTGTGGTTATCGCTACTGTGTCTTTGGTGAGCTGCTTGGAAAGCATCCCCTGGTTCTTTGTATGTGAACCTTACCTGATAGTTGACAATATCCCCTTGTATTGCATCTGGAGAGCAGACTATTACACTGCCCGTTCGTGGCGTATATTTGAGAACTTTGACCGTGCTTTGACACCTTTGGTTCCATTCGTGTTGATTTTTCTGTGCAATGCACTGACGATAAGGCGCATCCTAATCGCAAGCAGAATCCGCAGGGGTTTGCAAGCCAAGGCCATCAGCGAGAAGAAGAGGGATCCAGAGATGGAGAACAGAAGAAGATCCATCGTTTTACTCTTCACTATATCAGGCAGTTTTGTGTTGCTGTGGCTCACGGGTGTGGTTCATATCTTAAAGTGGCCGATTGCAGGCTACAATTACAATGAATCAACCGCCAATGATGTTGTTTATATTGTCCAACAAACCGGATTCATGCTGCAGCTCCTAAGCTCCTGCACCAACACGTGTATCTACGCACTGACACAGACACGGTTCAGAGAGGAGCTGAAGAACGCTGTCAAATACCCAATTGCTAAAATTGCTCAATTTGTAAAATAAAACAGCTGATTGAAACGGCTGTTTCAATTGAAAAGAGTCCCAGTCCAACTTTGCCAATTGTACATCCTATTCTTTAGCTTTGTGGTTAGAGCACTCGCCTCGCAAGCAAGAGGATATGGCTTTGATTCCCCGGGCTGGGCAAAACCTTGGGCAAGTTTCCTTACTCCACACACCTCAGCTTACCCAGCAGTAAGTGGGAACCCGGTTATTAGTCGATTGGCAGATCGCTTTCCGGGGTAATAATCCCTTCAAAGAATAATAATATTTGGTCACTCAATCCCCGACTGTTTGTGGGACACTGCTGTGCTCAATTGGCTGCTGCATTTTGCCCACAAAATATACAGTCAATTCACTTCACAATATAGTCTGTGAAGCACTTTGAGACGTGTTGAAGACGTGATATGGCGCTATATCAAATGCAAGGATTATTATTATTATCATTTTC